CAGTAAGTTCAGAGATCTGTGATGTAGACTTGCCAACAGAAGGTGACTTTAACGCCACAATTAAGGTGCGGGTGTAAGGATCAGTATTAGGAGACATTGTAACGATAGATACAGACAAATCGTACAGCTACTTAGCTCAAAGGTGGGAGTTGCGCCAAGAAGAGTTATGCCGAAGCGCCGAGATTAGCGTGGGACAAAACTTTTGTGAGGCACCTCCGTACTTATAGCTATAATATAAAGTTACTAGTGAAATATGTATAAATAGAAATATATAGTTATTACTACTTACTTAATACTCTACTAGAAAATCTTATGATAATAGCTTTTGTATAAGGCTCTATAGCCTTATCTTTAGTAGAGCACTAATTTTGGTGGGGTGTTGCATCCGCTGAATAGTTGCAAGCACTGACCACCTACAGTACATGCTTTTCGGGGGCTTAGCACCAAATTGAAAGGCCTTCTCCATGTCTCGTGAATGATGCTAGAAGCATGGTTGACTTGTCAAAGCACTATCAACGCCATCTCACACGACTATCGAGATGTCCTCCTCATCAGAGTCCGCCTTGATTGCGACCTTGTCCGCTTCGCTGCTCTCCGCATCAATGTCCTCCACCATCACTGGCTTCATGCTTTCGTTGGGCGGGTCCGTCGCTTCTTCTGGCGTGCGAAAGCCCCTCAGCTTGAGCGTCAACTTGCCGTATTGCTTCACCTGCTCAATCCTGATCCCCCCTTCCGTGTCCTCATCGTCATCGTCGGCACTCTCGATTTCAAAGTCGCATTCGCTATCGCTGTCGCTATGCTCGCCCTCTATAAAGTAATAACGGTCAACTTTCTTCAATATTATCCCCCTCCACTTGTCAGCGACCGCCCCAGTCTTGACAAGATGTGCTCTGAACTTGGGGAAGCGCCTGTACAGATCCCGCCACGGCGTGACGTCCCACAGATTATCCTTACTAGAGCCGCTGGTCGACCCCGGCATGCTGATAGCTATCACATCCTGCTGCGTCCAGTGTGCCGCCAGCGCGTCGAAAAACAGCATCTGCAGCCCTTTGACAAGACCCCACATGTCTGGGATGCTCGAAGAGAAGACCAGTTGCGCGGCGCTGGTGCGGACACATATATATTCAATGTCGCTGGCTCGGATGAGAGAACGCAAGGCATTGGATTTGCGGGCCCGTGCAAGAGGCTCAAAGAGACCATGCAGTGCGCGTGTGGCTGCCCTGCGGTATTCGTCTGCGTCAAGTTGAATTCCCAGTAGACAGGCGTCGGTGTGGGCGCGGATGGAGCGGTATCCTGCGATATGTGTGTTGACGCTGTAGATGCTGGAGCGTATGTAGTCGACAAAGTCGGCGAAGGCATGGGGCGAGACGGTGGGTAGGTGGATTTCAGATATTGTGGGATCTTCGCTGAAGAGAAAATAGAAGAGCCAACAGCTTTCTGCTAGCGGTGCTTTGGAAAGTGTCCATGTTCGTTGGGTTTCAATGCCAACCGTCACGGCGATTGTGCTGGGGGTGTATACGACCGCTTTCGCCGTCGGTGCGGCGGATCTGTATGTGCGCGAGGGTTGAGATGACATTTTGAGTGAAGGTTTTGCGGTGAGGCTTTGCAAGAATGCTTTGGTCTGAACCTAACCGCGTGCCAGTGGGCACTGGACCCGTAGTCGTCCGCGGAGGTGTCGTGAAGGATTAAAAACAAATCCTCACAGCTGAATTACGGTAACACTCGACTGGTGCTATGGTAAAGATGGTCTTGCTCGGTACGGATATGTAAACGAGTGCAACGAGGTATGTGTGATACACGTGAAAAGTGACAGTGAAAGCGATGGTGAAAGAGAATCCGATGACGGTTTGAGCCGTCGGTTAGTATATCAGCAGGATAACTGACGGCTGCTATCGATGTACGCTCTGAATAGCGATGGATGTGAATAATGTGAGCCAAATGGTATGCGGTAATGAGATGGAAGAGAACTCTGGCTTTGGCAGAAGAGAGGACACGACACATATTGAATGGTGGCAGCAAGGGGTGGATGACTTGAGAAGGCGCTATGAGAGAGGAAGTGGAGTGTGTTGAGCACCGGGAAGTCGTGAAGCAGAAGGTAACTGTAAAAGTCAAAATTTCAGTGAGTGCCCTTGTGTTCTCGACCAAGAACGCAAGAGCTCTCGGACCGAAGTCACTGCGCTCAAGGGTCTGTTGCAGCTGCTGTAGCACCGGTTAGTTCTTCAATTCGGCGAGTCTCTCGTACTTCATTTCGCATCTTGGTGTTGTAGAATCGGATGCGACTGAGGTTGAAGCAAGATTAGATTATGGAGTGTGACCTTCGTATCATCGTAAGAGGGAAAGAAGAGAACTGTACACCAGTGAGTATTTCTCTTGGTACCTGTACATTCACATGATTGAATTACTCCATCAAGATTGCAGCTATGGCCTGAGCAGTCGATCCCGGTGTTCACTTCAATCCACATAGTTCCTGGAAGACTCACCAAGAGGAGAGACCCCAAGTGATGCTGGACGGTGATAGACGTTGATTACCGGGTATTCGCCATCATATCAACTACTCTTTCGTCTGTATATCGTTTTCCCAGCCACCAGTGTCGGGAGATTGGTCAATTTCCACGGGAAACTTTTCGAGACTTTCGTACCATTGCAGTGTGCTGCCGATCAAGAAAGCCTAGCTACCCCAGAAAGTACTGAGAGAAGCCTGGTACTGTGCCCAGCTGCGGGTATCGTATCCAAATGCTGGACACAAGGTGAATCCTACACCTCCAATCAGGTTCAGAGCTCCTACCCACCAGCCGAGTGTACGAGGCGCCGGCATCCACCATTTTGACTGAGTCTCGATCATGAAGAGAGTGCCGGAAATGATGAACCCTAGGCCACCAAACAATTGGGGTGTCCAGTAGAATATTATGGTGATGGTGCGAGACATGTTGTTGTAAATACCGGGCAGCGCTGTAAAACCGGCTATCCAGAAGACTGTTGCGCCAATGAGCTGGGAGAGCGATGCTAGAAAACCCAGATTGTGAATGTAGTGGGTCCGTAGCTCTTGGCTTGACGGCCACCAAACCCACTTCCGCCTCTTCGATGGTAGCTCGTGCTCCATATCCGAACGGCCGCTACCAGAAGATCGTCCTTTGTTGTGGGGATGAACACACCCAGACCTAGATGCACGGATTGCCATCAATCCACTGTCACTGTCTTCATGCGCCAAAGCTTGCTCCACAGCCCATCCAAAGCATCCCGACCTGCCCTCATTTATAGCTTCCGCAAGCAGTAAGAACGATCCGAATTCAAAGACGGTTGCTCCAATGAAAGCAGTTATGCCCCCGCCATATAGCACCTCATTCTTGAATTCTGTGTCCGGGTAAACCAACGGCAAGTAGACGAAGAAAGCATTGACAATCCAGAGGGCGCTGCCTAATGTAAAAGTATATGCAACATCGAAGGATATATCGCACATAGGGTAGTATGTGAGCATCCGCCATATGTTGCGACCGACGGCGCGGGCAGCCGAAGTTGGCCGTGGGGTTACATGCTTAGGTGTGGTGTATGTATGGCTTCGGTCAATGGCTATTGCGTGCCGTCCTTTGCGATCGTTTCGTGAGGTCCACTTGAACCGAGCCTCGGGGCGTGCATTGAAGCAGTAGTGGGCTCGTGTGGGATTGAGGAAAGGAAACGGGCCGGTAACATGACCGGGTACGGGATGAACTGCTGCACTGTGCTTTACAGGTTCGCGCTCGGGGTGAAAAGCTTCGTTGCGCTTTGGTTGGCGAGTACTTTGCGGCGGGTTGCAGGATGCCATGTTCGGCCGGCCGTGTGGCATTGCTGTGCTGCGCCGAAGGTTTTTGTCCATGGTCAGTTGCAATCTCCGTGCTGTCAGCACATGCAAACGGAATATTCCACCCCATGGCGGTGGAAGAGAGGTGGTACGAGCAGCAGAGTTGCCGGTTACGTCATCCGCCGGATGCGAGTTGGATGGCTATTGCCGTGCCAGTGCACTATTTCCGACGTGCTGAGTAAGCGGGATCTGGACCACATGATCATGGTCACATGACATATGTATGGATAGTCAGGATTCTCTCCACCTTGACCATGCAGTATATTCCTTCACTATACTCGGCCAATAGCGTTTCCAATATGGTGCCATGTTAGCTTATCTGCCTTTGTAAGCGGAACTCATGGTCAAGCAGTCTCTCATTATTGACCATCCGGCCAAACGGATACGAATAGATCATTCATCTGGATGGCAATACAGTATGCAAGACAGGCCGATGTTGCAAGAGCTGAACTTACATAAATAAAACGTACAGAGGACCTAAAAAGCTTAGCCGTAAGACGTTCATCATCGTAGCGCTGGTCAATATGCGCAAACACTATGTAATACATGACAGACACATCCTTGACAAGAACAAGACCTTGAAACGAATAAACACGCTATCCTTGGTCCAAATCGCTCCATACTCATCAAAACACCATTACGCCAACCTGCAAACCCATGACAGAACCAGCCTATGCTAGGGATAGTTTCATAGTGCCGACGCAGCAACATCACTTGTCCTCCTTCCTCAACTTCTCCCTTTCACTAATCTTCAGGCCTCTTATTAGCTGCCGTCCCATCATCCTTGAAAGCTCCTTTGCATAGTCGGTCATCCGCATACTTGACTTTTCATCTTCCGTCTTTCCCTCATATTGCTTTTCGCTATACGGTGGCGGCGCCTGGGTATACCGCGAGTACTCTGCTTCGATGCGCTGGTAATTTGATTTGTTCGAGGAGCTGGAGCTGGAGCGGGAGGAGTGTTCCGACGAGTGTGTAGAAGGGGAGGGGAAAGAATGGTAGGAATAAGACTGTGGGGTAGATGATTTCGTGGATCGCATATTTCGGGAGCCCTGGGACGCAGTGGAGCGTTTGCCGACTGAAGATGCGGAGTCGTGGCGTGATGATATTCTCGAAGTCGGGGTCTCGCGTTCGTTGACGTTGACTTCAGGGTAGTGGTCCATGGTCCAACGACAACTGGTCTAGTGTCGTGATAGTGTGTAGGGTTTCAGAGGCAGGATGTAGGGCCTCAACCGAATGTAAGTTTAATATAACTGTACGATTGGCGCCCCTGCGTACTGCAGCTATGATGCACTTTAAACGGTTGCCTGTCCACCCAGACAACGCCTGTCATGCCTGTAATATGCTAGACACGGACATGGGATAGGCCTGCAAGTCATAGCACATCCCCCGACGTCATTGTAGGGCCATGGCAGTCAGCCACGATCTGTTCATGGTGTTCCAGAGGCAAATGGGCAGCCAATCAGGAGATCATCGGCCCAACAACAAAAGTGCCATCGGGAGCCTGATTGTCTCAGCGGGCGATAGGTTGGCTGGATGCTCCGCGGGAGCGGCAGAGCGTTTAACGCGTTTTGGGGTTGTTGGCTGGGTGACGCCAGGAGGCATGGTTGGTTGCGTAGGTAATGTATCGAAGCGAGGTATGTGTGGCGTAGAGCTGGACGGGGCCGATGATGTCATTCATCACGATCACCGGGGCCTTGTCGCACAGGCAAGACCTGCAAGCTGAAACAAATAGCTGGTGGCCAAGCGGTGGGTATCTGCAGCGCGGACATTGCGCAGAACGTGATGCGGGATATTAAATGCCATGACGCTTTTAATATGACATGGCGTGCAGGCCAAAAGCAGGTACTCCATACCCACCGGCCTAAGCCCTAACTAGGGCCTTGACGGCATCCTTGAGCTTTCCCATGCCCCGTGATCTTTTCCTATGGCTCCTTTGCCGCTCTACCTCAATCTTAGTTGGTGCATTGAAATTTCCGCTGATCTGTCTCATCTCGCCTGGCGGTTTGTGGTGTGATGACGAAGGCGCGTCGTAGGCCTCTGCTGCTGATGAGAACCTCCTTGGGCGATCTGCATCGTCTCCGTTATATGAAGATCTTAAGTATGCGGAGATGACAGCTTGCGGGGCCAGATGATCCACTTCTGATGGTTGCCGTGGCCGTGGGGATGTTGACGTGCACGTGCGAGGTTGATGCGAGTCTGCGCGTTGTCGAATAGACGCAAGTTTCTGACTGTGATCTTCCGCGACATGGCTCATCGAATGCCTTGCTGGGTAGTGTTAAAGAGTGAGATCGGGCAGGGAATGGATGACGCATACCTTGAGAATGAGACTCTTGCCAATCCTTTCTTTCCATCTTTGTATATCCTTCAAACCGTCCGCGGATTGTACGCCGTTCGAGTGCGTATGAAGGATGCAATGCGCAAATGTGCAATAATAAATGGCCTACCAACAAACTGGACGGCTGCCAGAAACCTCAGGCTCCTGGAAAATGCCATCCTTTCATACTTGGTGGCACTGCCCTGAACACTATGATTCAACCAACGTCGTGCATAACAGCGCCCAACGTCATCGGTTCTGCTCCAACCAAATTTTCTTGTAAAGTAACCGCAACATGTTAACCGCGGATCGAAACCAAGACGGATAACCGGTCAGGCTAAGCCTTGTACGTCCGCCTACTCCAGCTTGGCTGCGGTAGATATTCACTCAAAATTGCCTTGCAAGTCGAGGATGTATTAGTAGTGGCGTCATCTAGGAGGTCGCTTGTCCAGTTGAAGCTGAGGCTTAGTGCTGTGAAAGGCGGAATTGTATGCAGGGCAGACTTGGCCATGCGCTGGTAGCCTCGCAGCTCGTGTGTACCGGTTGGCTTGCTGTGCATGGCTGTGAATATGGTCTGGCGAGGAACCATCGAGTGATGTGGGCGGAGCTCACGACAGGCGACCCAGTGGCAATGGCGGCATCAGCTGCGCCCCGAGAGGCTTGATGGCGGCGGGCCCATTGTCAGCAGTCAGGCAACCACCGAGCGGACGAGTTGGAGGAGGCTCATGTTAGTCAGGGCGTTAGGTTTGCAGTACCATGGGAGGCTTTGAGATGGCTGTTGCTGTGAGTCGGTCGACGTGGACGAGGCGCATTGTCACGTCAGGGTGAGGGATGCACACGAGGCAGGCGCCGCCACATCATGTGACCAGGGGCGCCCCTCGGCCAATATGACCACCTGGCAAACGCCAAACGCGTGCATAGCCAAAGTTATGATGCGTGGCATCCGACGAGAGAGGAAATGGCCCAATGTTCACTGTCTGACCCGCGTATATCACGTCTGTTTCATCCCTGGTGCATGCAAGGGGGGAGGGCCGCACCAACACCCGGAGGCCCATCTTCGCTTTTTGGCCCATGCAACCCCTTCCTCCGTTCCGCGCATCCACAAAAGTGGCAACGAAAGGCTTCGAGAAGACGTCTTTGCAGACTGCGCTTCTGTGTGCCTGAGCAAGCAGGCCCAAATACCAAAGACAGCAAAGAGTGTATTTCTATGACAGAAGGTAACCGTGGCTGTTATCCTTTTGGCAGTAAATATAGCAACGTAGAGCGACGGGCGACGAATCAGGCCTATTGGGGAGAGCGTAGAGCCAACGCACCCGTATGTGGCGCAGCGGAAGGCCCCGGCTGGCCTAACCACCACACACGTCCGCGCCTGGTGGGGGGGCCCTCCGAGATGATGCGAGCGCGAGCGGCAGCTGACGCGGTTTTTACTTTCTCAGAAACGGCGATCGGACTGCCCCTCGATGCCGCCTACTTGTGGACATTCTAGAGCATTAAATAGGAGAAGGGGAAGGCCGCCATGATCATGGCGCGTCCCGTAGCAACAGCCTCCAATACTCTTTTGTTTTGTTGGGTATTGGAAACAGCAAAGTACTCAAGCAAAAACCACTGGTCTACCACGTCGTCGCGACATTGCGTGTAGGACGCAATTCATTGCTTCTTGCTTGAGCATATAGGTATGTCCTTATATATCCACGACCCCTCCTCTGGCTAGACCACGGCCGCCTGTCAGCCTTCGCACCTGGCAAGCATCATCCCTAATCACCGTCGTTTCCAGGGTGTATACGGCGCCAATCGTCTACTCCACACCTCGCCCGCGTGAACGTTGCGCGGACGAGCAGGCCGCCCCGTCAACAAACACCCTCCAACCGCCTTGGCATATAAACAGAGGGAATACGAGGTTATACCTTTGCACTTACCACCGCCTGCCGCTGCCAAACCCACCATCATCTCTGTCCGACTCGTGTCATTACCAGTCCCCGCCCGCCCGCCTACAACAACGATCATCATACACGGCTACCCAAAATGGAAAACCACACTACCCAATTCTCGTCCAATTGCTCGACGCCCAGTGAGCCGACCACACCCGTGTCGCCTGCATCCTCAACCAGCAGCTCCTACTTCAATTCGTCCACCGAGCCCCAGGTCCCGTTCCAGATCATCGTTACCTTTGACGGAAAGGTGCGCGAGATGCTGCGGATAGAGCGGGGCGAGAGTGCGCCCGAAACACGCAAATCGCGAAGAACACCCAGGCCAAGATACTATGCACGGAGTTCGGAGCAGCCGCTGAGAATGGATTGAGCTGATAGCGTGGAAGGGCTCCAAGGGGCCGAACAAAAGGCGTTCATGATTGGAATGAGTTCAGCACGGAGTTATGGTATTGGAAAAATCGCTCACAATGTCTGTAAAGGGCCTTTGAAGCCGTCACATCTATGCTGCGTTAATAATTGTCAATGTTGGTTGTATGGGTTTTGTTGTGGAAATGTCCGTGCCTCTCTGCGGATTTCCTCATTTGAGTCAATCAATCTTGCTTTGACCATCTTTGTTTTTTAAGAGTAGTAAATTTAAGATATTCACCGTCACTGTCAATGCTCTTCTGGCCAGCTCAGCAGTGAATGCAATGTCCGACTATACGCTCTGATGCTTTGCTGACCAGGCTCCGATGCGCCATCGTAGACTCTGCCGAGATTTCGGGGTCATACACTCAAAAGAAAAGAACAAAAGAAGAAAACTGGTAGACTTACGCATGGCTAGTGTGGAGCTCGGACTGAACCCTCGACCTTTTCGACAAAGCTCTTCATGCTCTCGCTAGTCTTACGTAACATCGAGCTATTGCTGCTAAACCAGCGCAGATATGTCGAACCAAGTGCCGAACAACTACGCCTACAGGCGTACAGGCATTCTCGTTTCGTCAGGCGATTATCGGAACTCACGGCTAGGCCGCGGAAGCTCATGGCTTCTGTTGGGGTCGTTGTATGGACAGGATCATCATGTTTCACCGTGCCATCCTTGACCTCTGTCTTCCATTGTTGTGTTGCGACTGCAGCCCAGCATGTGGTGACGCCATCGGGAAGGCTGTCGAGGGGATTGTGAGGGATTTTCGACTCGTGAAGCGTCGGTGTCGTCGGAGCAATGCGCAGTGTACGCTGCTCTTCAGCGGCAGCCATTGCCACCAATACACTTTAGAATCTTGGCTTCTTCGTCCGTCTTGGCCTCGAACCAGCGATCTGGACCCTCTTAGTCTTGTGGTCAGGCCGATCATGGCCCGGGGGTTGTTCTTTGCGTACCTTGGAAGCTTTCCCGAGACATCCCTCAGAGTTCCCGTATCTGTGGGCTTGCCGCAAAGGGAACCAGAGATGGCGCAGCTTCTATCACATTGTAGCACTTCCAGCTGTGGAACCGTCGTGAGGATGGGAAATGATTGTGCAGGTGCGGGGAGTGGTTGCAGAGCTCAGCGCTGAGGAGTTGCACGAGAAGCTGCTTGGACGTCCTTAGCGCGCTTTCTATTTGCATACAACAACCTACTTGGCCGCACCTTCCTCAACACCCCTGTGCGATCACGCATCCCGGGAAAATAAAAGTGAAAAAGCAGAAACACCATTCATGATAATATCCTACAGTATGCGCATTTTCGCCTCGACCACCCAGAACATCCCCTGTTGAAAGTTCGCCGAGCAAATGCTATTCTACAAGAATGCGCAAAAGACATGACTAGTAAAGCATCTCCGTGACGGATAGAAATACCCAACTCGATCCCGAAGAACTCCGTGCTTTTTTGTATCATGAACCAAGACAGAAATTGATAGCAAAAACCCCCAACGTCCTTCCAGTCCATGATCATCTCCATGTCCGTGTCTGTGGGATCATCATTAACCTTGTTTGCCGGCCAGCCCAATCGAGTCGTGATCCCGTAAGCAGCCGAGAAATGCCAAATGACCAGGTAGGAAATGTATTATAGGGAGAAGGAAATGAAGAACCGCCATGCATCAGGGGCAAGAGTCTACCTGTGGCCAGAGTGCACGGGTAAGTACAGTGGCGGAAGATTGCTGGTGCCTCTTAGATGCACTCTTGGGGCGAACGTCGACGTGGCGCCGCCAGCCGACTAAGCTAGTGGACGTGGGCTCTGTTGAGCGTGCGTGAAGAGAGCGTTGAGAAGCCGTTCAACCTTTAAGGGGTAACAAGTTAGTATGGCTTGATAGACGAGCTGTAAGGAGCCTACGTACTTCAGGCGCTGCCTTGACAAATGGCAGCTCCCAGAATGCATATGTGCGGTTCTTCAAAATTTCCAGCAATGTGATGATGAGGCCCCATGGGTGTGGGCGGTGAACCAAGAGGCGCTCCAGCAACACACGGGTAATGGTCTCCTGGATCTCCAACGCTAGCGAGTCGTCGTTCGGAGGCCCAAAGAGATGTAGCAGCGCATAGCTGTAGAAGTGAGTGTGCGTGTTCGGGAAGCGGAGCTGGTTCGCAATCGCGCTAATAAAGTGGAATCTAGCTTCCGGGTGGAAGTCCTTGGCAAGCCTCTCAATAACCTTGGTCGCTGGGCTCTCGGTGTCAAAAATTGGTGCACTAACTGGCCCTGCGCCCAGAGTCGAGATGCCAATGTATAGAGTGATGGCGTGGATCAGCGCTGGGTTGGCTGTTGTAGGGACCAGCTCGAAACCTGCAGGCTTGGGCTCCGAGTAATACACTGCGCGGCAGACCTTGTCGACGTCCTGGTTCTTCAGCTCCGAGCTCTTGAGAAGACCGTCAATGGCACTCTTGATGCCTGCGTCTGCCAGCATCTGCGCAATATCAGCACGAATGACAGGAGCTTGAAGCTCATGGTCAAGGCGGTCTGCCTTTAGTCCTGCAGTGAATGGATCCGGCATCTCGAGGATGGTGGAGGGATATGCGCTCACGATCAGGTTCCGGAGTTGCGTGCAGTGCATCGGAATGCTGTTGCAGAACCTGAAATGGTTCTCGACCAAGAACTCTGGGAAGTCGTGGTGAATAACCAGCAACACCCGCAGAACGCCGCGGTAGAACTGCTGGGTCATGATCGTTTCTCCGGTAGGCTTGATGAGTTTCCCAGTGAAGATCAAGAGTGTCTCCACGAGCTGAGCGTAAATGTCCCACCGCTTGTCATCTTGGCCCTCTTCCAGCATGGCAGGTACAAAGATGCGATGCGCAACCAACGCAAGCCACGAGAAGGCAAAGCGTTGAATGTTGGAAGGCTGAACGATCAAAAGAGCCTTGGCGACTGCAAGGAAGATGTCGGCCTTCTGGTCTGCTAGCGCCTCTTCTTTTACTGCGTCGTTCAAATGGAACAGAATCGCAGAGAATAGCCTGAAGAACACTTTCTGGTTGAAGCCATCTTCCCGAGTGTTGTGGTGGTTGCAGAGGACGAGCACTACGACAACGAGCATCTGGTCCAAGTACCTCGCTTTGTTCTTCTTGGCCGCACCCTCTTGCTCACCTTGGTACACAAGGAGATCGACGATGAGCCTACCAAGGGCATCGACCTTGACCGTTGCAATGTCTTCGTTACCGCTGCCATATGGAGACGAGTGCTCCTGTTCGTATGCAATGACCGAGGCGTCAATGCAGGTGCGAATGAAAGCAACCGAGGACTCCTGCGTCTCCAGCACCTTTTGTTGATGAAGCTGGTAGATGAAAGCACCAACCGTTTTCTTTGGTATGTTTTCCATTTGAAGATGTACCCACTCGTCAAACACATACTCAAGCTGGTCCTTGTGGCCGGATGCCGGTGGGGTGAGCGACTGGTCACTGGAGGGCGCTTGCAGATTGGCAATGACCCGCTTTCCGAGTTCGAAGCTGGGGTCTTCTGCCAGCCAAGTAGTGAGCGCGTCGATGGACATGGCAAAGTCCGCACGGAAGGCGCTCGGGTGTTCGTTGAGGAGAAGCTCTTCCATCAGACTTGACAGCATCTCAACCGCAGCGACGCGTCGCTCTTGGATGGCCTTGGCAATTGTCGTATTCAGGCGGTGCATGTCCATTAGGTTGACCTCCATGAGCGCCACCATGACTGTAGCCTTGAAAATACGATCGTCATCATGGAGGGTGGCCAACCACATCAGCACTTGTCGTGATGTCTGGACAGACAACTGGCAGAGGTGGCTCAGAAGATGGGCCATAACCTCAACCTCCAAGCGGCTCAAAGAGTCAGAAAAGAGGTGGTTCGTGACTTGTCCAGCGATGCGGAAAGCCCACGTCTCCTTGTTGGGCCCGGCGTACTCAATGCTTGAAATAAGCTGGTCAAAGACTTGGTGGACGCTGCTGCTGCCAGGCTGAAGGTCACTTATACGCTCCTCTGGCGCCTCCTTGATGATACGGGTCAGCTCAAGGAGGAGATCCTCTACGCCACGTTGACCTCGCTCAAGCCCAGGTGTGTCCATGTAGCCGTTGGGCTGTTGCTGGGTTAGCGCTGCATGGGGTGCTTGAAGGCTCTGTAGCCTAGGCTGCTGCTGTGCCGGTTGTCGTGGCTCTGCTGGTGCAGCACCTGGTGTCGGGAGATTCGGTACCGCCGCGAACTGGTCCTGGAGGACATCTGGAAGCTGGCGTCCGTTGTCCTGAGAAGTGTTGTTGACGTGCGGGGCGCCTCGTGATTGTCTGCCAAAATCCTCATAGATGGCCAACTGCTCCCTGTTCAAACCACCGGGCATCTGCCTGTAGGGCTCAGGGATGTAGAAGGCCCAGGGGCTGATGTTTGCATCCTTGAAAGGCTCATTCGGGCGAGAGCTGCGGAACATGCGCCGTATGCGGACAGCTTCTTCGATTTGCATGTCAATTTCAGCAAGAGACGACATTTCCGCAGCCTGCTCCACGGTGTTGCAGACCAAGTCAAGGTTATCGTTGACAAACATGATGATATGTCCCTCCGGAAGTCCCTGGTCGGGAAGATCCCTGGCTGTGAGGCGAATGTTATTCTGGATGCTCATGCGCAGAGGCTCTTTGCAAGTGACAAGAGCCAGAGAGCCGGAGAGAGCCTTGACAACAGTGTGTGCTGCATTACGAAGCTTCTCCTCGTCGGGCTCCATGGCAAAATCTTTGTTGATCAGTTGCGATGTCGAGATGGCGGCAATGGTGACAGAGCGTTCGACCACAGGGGCGATGATTTCCTGGATAGCTTGGTTGACTGCAGTAAGGAAAATCTTCTTGAGTGTCGCTGGAGGAACTGCACTGTTTCCGGAGGGCGGGTACTGAAGCTGGTTGGTGAAGTCGGGCAGAGCGGCCGTCATTGCCGCAGAGGAGAAGCGCTCGTTGGGACCTCGGGCGCCGCGGTTCAGACTCATAATGGAGAGATCCCCAAAGGGTTCCATGCCGTCTGCCACCATGGACCCAAGGAATTCTTCGTCGACTGGTGGCCGTCCTCGAATGCTGTTCGTTGGCTCAATATCCTTGTGGTCGAGCTCCAAGCCCTTGCAGAGCACTTCAATCTCAAACTTCTGATTGAGCTTGAGATCGGCAAAGTGATACAATTCCATGAGCACGCCCAGCATTTCCATCAGCCATGGGTTGGGAGGCTTGAAGATTGTAGACTTTGCGGCTTGCACTAGAACCTTGCAAGTGAAGGGAATGACGAGCAAGAGGCGGTCTGTGTCGTAGCCTTCGTGCAGCAAGTCTTTGAATGAAATGTTACGAAACTTGATCGGCTGGTCGCGAGCTATGGTCAAAGATCCAAGCCACGAGCCTAGATTTTTGAGATGGCCGCGTTCAGTGGAGCCCAGCGTTGAATCGGTGTTGAGCATGCGGACTACACTGGAATATGTCTCACGGAGCACCTCGGCCCATAGCATCTTGTCGTTGAACAAGTCAAGCATGTCAAGATACAACTGTTGAAAGTTGGGCTGCATCTTCGCGCGCTCCTCTACGAGGTAGTTGGCAAACCATTGATGATGTCTCTCCTCAACAGCCTCGGTGAGATCGTTAATCTTGTCGCGCAGGTTACGCTCAGACACATTGTTCAGTACGAACAACACCTTGTCCTGGACATCTTCGTCTGGGTCCTCGTAGAGGTCTGAGCGGAGTGGCGGGTCGACATAGAGGCAGCTAAACTTGGGCACAGCCGGTTCTTGATGGAGGTTCTCATCAACGCCATTGCCATTTGTCATGCCCATCCCGTTATGGCCCTCGCCATTGACTTCACCAACTTGCTGGCCTACTACCTCTTCGGCCTTGGCATAAATCTCAGTGCCTTGAAGTCCAGGGACAATGAGAAGTTGGTCGCAGTAGTTGGGCCATTCGGAAAGTCGATTCGAAAAGTGAATGAGAGCCTGAAGACCAAACTTGTACATGCTGTCCTCAGGCCGGAATTCCTGAACGGCCTCCAGAACCATGGCTAGCCCGACCTGGAGGGCGATTCGGGACAGGAGATTGAAGTTGATGATGCCGCCAAAAAGCACAGCAGTGGTCGCCAATGCTTCGAGCGGGTACTCTCCGAAACAGTTGTACTCGTCGAATAGGCCATGGATCATGCACGCAAACAGATCCTGGTCCGCCGGATCACGGGATTCCTTGTACTTCTTCAAGGCGGAGATGATGTCTCTAACATCGCTGTCACCACTGTACATGTTCTTAAAGTGCTCCTGCATCTTTTTGTCGGCGTCTTCGGGAAGTGCGTTGCCGTTCTGGCCATTGGCGTCAATCACATCGTCTACGCCCTCGCCATAGTTGATAAGACGGGGGTAGGCCTGGATACAATTTCGCTGCAAGGGCAGCAGCTCCTGCTCTGGCAGACCGCATTCTGCAAGAAACCAGAGAAGCGGGTAAACTGTCTTGACTGCTAGTGGTAGGTTAAGAGGTTGGTGGTCGTCTCGAAGGCGCTGCATCTCTTCCCCGGCCCGCGCACTTAGAAAGTTGGTCAGAATGCGGCGGAAAAGTGGCCCGGCTTGGTCGAACGTCTGTTGCAGCCAAGGCTCAACGTCAAACTTCCCACGTGCATGTGCTTGTGCAGCCAAGTCCAAGCTGATATCAGTATTGCTGCGGATCAATGGCTCCAGCCAGTTGTTCGTCTCCGCATGCTCCAGTATCAGAGTAAGCGCCATTGAGTCGGCGTTGTATGCATCGACGAAGCGATCTACAAGCCATTGGATATCCTGCTGCCAGAGACCGTAAAGCACAAAGTTGTAAATAGGCAGCTTTTTGTGAAAGTAGGGATCAAACAGCTGCTTGAGTGCTTGCTCTTGTAAAGCACCCCAGGGTTTTGGGACTGCCGCTGCTGCCACGAGGAACTCCGCTGTGTGGGGATTAATCACCAAGTCGGGTATGCCCATCAGTTGAGCAGTATGGTAAGTCTCTGAAGTCTGAAAAATCATGTTGAAGAGCGCAGCAGTTGCGTCGAGCGAAACGAATGGATGCCTGACTGCTTCCTCGGCAAAGGCCTTTGCGTCTTCCGAAGCACCTTCAAATGTCTTCATCGAGTATGACGTGCGCAGCCTGGGAATCTGCGTCACATCCAGCTCCTGGCGTGTCGACGACAAAAAGGCCACTACAAAGTACAGCTGCGTCAAGTCGTGCTGCCATTGGCCTCCCCACAGTGCCTGTATGTCGAATTTCTCGTTCTCTTGGGCTACGGGGAGCAATGCGTTGTAAATGGCCAGGAATTGGTGTCGTTCGATGCGCAGGTGATCTCGATCGAAAGCGAGCACCACATCTTGCCAGTCTATCCGCTGTCCCGTTCGGTGTTCGCGCAGCGCGGCTACAAAGTTCTTGGCATTGTATCCGGTTGAGAGTGCAAGATACAGCAAAACTGCCGCAACCTGTTGATAACTAATGTCGCGTGTCTCGGCCGACGCAAGCACTTCTTTGCATGCCTCAACCGTAGCCGTGCCTTGCGGGCCTGCCTGTTTGACAAGTTTGACAAGGGGGTTCCGCGCTCCGTCGGTGAGCTCGACGAGTATCAGCTTCGATTCGACGATGCCCGGTATCTGTTGGTGTGTCTGCTGATATCGCATCTGCACGGCATATGCCAGGCTCATCTTCTTCTCTTCGTCCCATCCCTGTGGCGGGTCTTGTAGTAGGCGCTCGACGAGGGAGGCGAGGTAATCGTGGCTCATATCCTCTGGCTGGGCTGGTTGCGCAATGGACATGAGCAAGTCGTCGCCCACAGTGGACAGCACCGCGTCGGCTGGTAAGAGTTAGCGCCGTGTCCAGGGAAAAGAGCTAGTGCAACCAACCTTTGGATCGCAAATCTGTCCTTCGGCAGGCGAGCGCCAGCATAGTCTTTGCGACCGAATCAAGTTTGAAGTGGGAGACAAAGGTTGCGAGATCGAAATCACGGAACAAGTCGCCCTCGCTCGTGCTGATCGACTCTGTAATCTTGTCTGCCTGCTCTGGATCCTTCCGTATCTTGTGTACTTCTGCAAGGAGGATCTGGTAGCTGCCATTGGGGTCGGCGTTGCGTGCGCCCGAGCCAAAGATGGTGGCTGCATTGTTCTGCAGCACACGGCGGAAATACTTGGTGAAGACCTCCATGCCGTTTGTGTCAACCAGCTGGCAGTGCGTCAGTATAGGAGGGCAGGCAGGGAGCGCAAGCATGGGGAGCGACGAACCTTCCTGATCTGCTCGGTTTGCGTGTCCCACTTGGCGCGGTCCTTGTCGTCCTTCACAGGGCCGAATTGACTCAGCAGGAGGAAGATCTGGGCGATGACGATGCGCGAGAGATTCTGCGAGGAGGCGGCAGACGAGTTGACCGAGGTGCTGGGCGAGCCGGTGGTGCTCGAGGCGGAGAGCGAGGGCGAGGCGCGGACAAGCTTGGAGGCTCCTCCGCCGCTGGTTGAATGTGCACTGGCGCCCTGAGTAGCGGCTGCGGCGGAGGAAGCCAGGTGCGAAGCAGCTTGGGGCGCTATGGTCCTGGACCCACGGGAGGACAGCAGCTGGCTGGCGGGGAGCTGCTGTCCTGCGGGCGAGAAGGGCGACGACGTCGACGAGGCTGCCGACGACTTGCGGCTGCGGACCAGGCGCGACGATGCAGGCGGCAGCGAGGGGAAGGCCGATGACGCGGGCGACTGGCTGGGGCGGGCGTGGCTGGGCGAGGGGGCGTGGGCGGTGGTGGTGTTGCGCTGCTGCTGCTCGTGGGCAAAGGCAGTCGAGAGAGGCGCGAGGCGTGTGCTTTGGGTTTGTCTCGGGGCGCCCCAGGGGTGTTGCTGGCTCATCGAAAGAGGCTTTCCATGAGCAGCGCGTGGCGGCTGGGGGGGGGGGGGGGGGAACAGAGGGGGGGCGGGCGGAGATGGGTTTGTGAGGTTTTGGGTGCGGGTGTGATAACCAGACGTTCAGTCGGCCATGCACGAAGAGCGAAGCGGGCTTGGCACGTAGTACAGTCGCAGAGGCACGTCTGCCACGTTGAACTTTACTTTTGGGGGCGCTGCAACAGCAGACGGCCGCGCAGGCTTCAGGCTGCGAGAGCCCGCTCAGCCCGGCGAGAGCATTGTGCCCGGCGCTGCAGGTCCCATCTGTCTCATTGCATTCCCTCTGGCGGGCGGCGAGGGGTGCTCGGGCTGCCTCTCGTAACGTAGCAACAGCACCTTTTACCCCACACTCGACCAGCCCAGCCCAGTCAGCCTCTCTCCCCGGCCGCCACTCCATGGCGATGCCCATGGCCCTCCTTGCACTCGGCACAGTCAATGCACAGCGGAACATAACACGGAACCATGCCAAGCCAAACCGTTGGGCGTCTGGGACGTGCTCAGTGTCGATGATGCCATTCTAAGCCGGCCTGGGCTCTGTCCCTCCACCAGGCGCCCAAACATGATGCACACAAACACAGGACAACGCAGGCACCCGCGGCAGACCAAGACTGTGCCCGAGAGTCCAATGCACCTCCTTTCGACGGACCTTCTTCTGCCGTCGGAAACAAACCCAGCAGCCGTGGGACGGCGGGACGGGGCATGGCTGGCGACCAGCATGCAGGCGCTACGCAGAGCAGCAGCCCATTGCGTGCCATATACAGCGAGCAGCGGACGGGCACCGCCGTGACCAAACACGCAGCCAGCACGGCAGGCCTTGTGCCTACGGTATCTTCCGCGGTAGGCAGGGTGTACATAAAGTATGCCATGTAGTACGTGTTCAAACCCACGACTGCAAAATGCCCGTCGGCCGGCCGGCCTTGCGTCATTGTATGCACCAAGGGCCATGAGGCGGACGCTGCACACGGCGCAGGGCCGTCGAATGCAGGAAACCGCAGAAGCAAGGCTTTGCAAGGACGCCGGGCAAAGCAACAACAGGGGCATTGGCTGTCTGGAGGCAACGTTGTGGTCTTGGGGCTCGCCGTGGGGTTGGCTGCTAAGGTTAGCGCTAGGTACCCCTCGCGTCGCCATGGTGATTCTCGCGAGGGTCAACACAGGGTACACACCGCCAACGCACCCTGGCCCGCCTCCCAACATCCGGCGCCGTCTACATTGACTCCGAGCTAGATAGACCGTCATTCCTCCCAGTTCTTCTTGCGAGCATTCGCTTCCTAATATCGACCGTTAGCTGACATACACTCCCCCCCCCCGCCGACGCAGCAATCACAGCCGCAATGGGTGCAGCGGCGACGGAGCCGCCCTCGGTCTCCTTCTCGTGTACGTGCAGCTTGCTGCCATCTGTACAGGAAGCCACTGACAGTACTAGTCGCCAACAACTTCTGGGGCAAAGATGACGCAGGCGTCGGACCAATGCTCGACCGCATGCATGCGGCCAAGATTACAAACGACGAACTGAAGCATTTCTACGCAGCAAGAGCAGCAATTGAAGAAGACTATGCGCGGAAGCTGCTCAATCTGTCACGCAAGCCCCTCGGGTCCTGCGAGTCGGGCACACTCAAACTATCGTGCGATGTGATCCGGGCAGAGGTCGAGTCCATGGGAAAGGCTCACCAGAGCGTAGCACAGCAGATGAAGACGGAGCTAGAAGAGCCGCTTGCCGCTTTTGCCGGCGGAATGAAGGAGCGGAGAAAGATTGTGCAGAACGGCATTGAGAAGCTGCTCAAGCTCAAGATGCAGCAGACGGCGACCATGAACAAGGCACGCGACCGATACGAGCAAGACTGTCTCAAGATCAAGGGCTTCCTAGCGCAGGCGCACATGGTCATGGGACACGAGGAACGCAAGAACAAGGCGAAGCTGGAGAAGACACAGATCAACCTGACTACTACGAGCGCCGATTACGAGGCGGCAGTCAAGGTGCTCGAAGAGACCACTGGCCGCTGGAACCGGGACTGGAAAGCTGCGTGTGACAAGTTCCAGGATCTCGAGGAAGAGCGCATCGACTACACCAAGAGCAGCTTGTGGAACTTTGCCAACATTGCGTCCACCGTGTGCGTCAGCGACGATGCTTCGTGTGAAAAGATGCGCCTGTCCCTTGAGGACTGCGACGTTGAGAAGGACATTGTTGGCTTCATCAAAGACTGTGGAACTGGCCAGGAGATTCCCGACGCACCCAAATTCATCAACTTTTGCAGAGGCGACGCCGAGACATCTTCACTGGCTTCCGAAGATGAGAACTACTCGGTCGCACAGTTTGCGAGGACGCTGAATCCAGCCTATCGCGCTTCATCACCAGCGCCTTCCAACTTTGAATCACATCATGACCCGAACAACCCGTTGGCTCGAGAAATGGGTCTCCAAAGGGACACGCGTCCGATTGCACCAGACGACCTTGATGCTTTACCCCTTCAGCCAGTGGAGAAACCTTGTCAATCTATGGATAGGGCTCGCCATTCAATAGATATGCAGCGTCAGTCGATAGATATGCATCGTCAATCGATAGACATGCATCGTCAGTCAATGGAGATGCCTCGTCAGTCAATGGACATGCACCGCCAATCAATGGACATGCACCGCCAGTCGATGGACATGCACCGCCAGTCGATGGATATGCCCCGCCAATCAATGGACAGGCATCGTCAGTCAGTAGACATGTCCCGGCAACGAGTTGAGTCACCACAACAGTTCGAGGACGAACCACAACACTATGTTGAACCTCTGCGGCAGTATTCCGAATCGCCGCGGCCACGCGCAGAGCCACCGCCGCAACAATTACAGGAACCGCAACACTACGTTGAACCTCTACGACAGTACTCTGAATCGCCACGACCACGCGCAGAGCCATCACGACAACGCGTGGATCAACTACGACAACAGGTCGAGCAACCGCGACAACACGTGGAACAACCACGCCAACATGTAGAACAGCAAAGGCAATTCTTTGAGCAACCAAGACAGCATGTGCCGCCGCCGAGGCAATATACCGAATCACCAAGACAGCAGCAGATTGAGCCTTTACGACAACGCACGGAACCACCAAGACAACCTATAGAGCCGCCACCACCAGTGCAGCCACCACCACCAGTGGAGCCAGTGCAGCCGCCACCACCAGTACAGCCAGTCCAACCCGTGCAGCCGGTGCAACCTCCCCAAGCGACACGAACAGTGCAGCCAGATCCACGACTTGTCCAAGCGCAGGAGCAAGCACGCCAGCAGTATCAGCAAACCCAGACCCCGCATAACGACTACCCAGCCGATGGAATGACACAGTTCTGTCGTGTTGGACCACCATCTGATCGAAGTTCAATTGCAAGTCCCGTTCGTCCCGCCAGCAGAAGTTCACAAAGCGACTGTTCAAACCCCACATCTCTGTCCAGTATTGAGCCCCCCAGTGGACCTGCTTCACCCAGCAAGCCTACGCCACAGTCATCGTTTGCTGAACCTAGTCCGATTGAAGAGGGTGCTGTGCAGAAGAAGAGAGGCTTCTTCAACAGTCCATTCGCAAGGAGGAAGAGCAAGCATGAGATGGAGCCTCCGGCTCTCGTAACCAGCAACAGAAATACATGGACTGCTCCCTTACGAAGGAACACACAAGAACCTATCAGCCCAATTAAGCCTTTTGTCATCAGACCCACTAGAGCTATCGAGAGCAAGCCGCCCTCTCCCGGCCCAGAGCCAGCTGATCCTCGGGCAAACTTCCAGCTCAACGTTGGTAACAATGTATTCGACGTGGAGTCGCCGGACAAGAAGAAGCAGGAACAGCAGTCTGAGCCATCAGAAGAGCTCGACCCCATTGCACAGGCTCTTGAGGAATTGAGGGGGGTCACCAAGCAAGCTTCAGCCCGTCAACCCCCGCCGGAAGAACGCAAACAGGCCTCTGTACGCCAGACTGCGGATCGTTACCATGGCCTTGCCACACCTGCACCCCCTGCTACACCCGCTGTCGGTTCAAAGCTGGCTGGCAGTGCACCCACACCACTGGCTAATATTGGAATCAATGCAAGCATTAATGCTGCAAAGCGTGGCACGCCTCCGCCCTCATATGAGCAGCCGTCAATGTCGCTTTTGGGAGCCCCTAAGCCAGCACACACATCTCGGGCGATGCAAAAGACCACGCAGATGTATGTCAATCAAAAGGTCAACATGTTCAATGGAGGCGATGCAGCTCGCACTCCCAGCCGGAGTCCAACGAAGCAAGAGGCACCACGAACTGCTACCCAACCAGCAGCATCACCTCGAACTACTACCCAACCAGCTGCTTCGCCGCGAACTACCACCCAACCCGCTGCTTCTCCACGGACTACTACTCAACCAGCCGCTTCTCCACGTACTACTCAACCAGCTGCTTCTCCACGTACTACTCAGCCAGCTGCTTCTCCACGTACTATTCAACCAGCTGCTTCACCTCGAGCTGCCCCTCAACCAACCGCTTCTCCACGAGCTGCTCCTCAGCCAACTGCTGCTCCCCAACCAGCTGCTGCTCCACGAACTACCACTCAGCTAACTGCTTCTCCACAAGCTGCTTCACCCCGAAATGTAGTTCAACCAGCTGCTTCTCCACGCACTACTACTCAGCCAGCCGCTTCTCCACGTGCCAACATTCAACCCGCTGCTTCGCCTCGAACTGCTACTCAGCCCGCTGCTTCTCCAAGGACTACAATCCAACCGGCTGCTTCTCCGCGGGCTGCTGCTCCACAAACTGCTTCTCCGAAAACTGCTTCACCAGCACCTGCACCTGCACGTGCTGTCAGCCCGCGACCTACTCTGCAGACTGCACAACAAAACACGCCCCAGAATTCTTACCGTACGGCTCAACAACAGCCTCAGTCTCCGTCAACCTACAAGCCTCCACAACGGGTACAGACAGCCCCTGTACAGCCTGTACAGCCTGCACAACCTGCACAGCCTGTACAGCCTGTACAAAGACCACCATCACAGGCATCTCAACGTCCGCTGCGTCAACAGCCGGCCGCACAGCAGGTATCACGGCCTGCGTCGAGGCAGGCACAACCACTATCACGACCTGCTTCGAGACAGGCACAACAAGCACCGCGACCCGCTTCGAGACAGGCACAACAAGCACTACGACCTGCTTCGCGACAGCAGGCACAACCACCACCACAGCCAGCACCAGCTTCTCCTGCGGCTTCGTACAGTCGAACAGCATCGCCGAACCCCTATGCTCCATCTAGTGCTACATCTAATGCTGGAGCCAGACCGAGAGCCCAGACGACTGCAGCGCCGGCCCAAGCCTACAGTACACCTCTGGGACGTAACACGTACACATCTACGCGTGGTTCGTCGCCAAACGTCAATAATATGCAACGTACTGCATCGCCCAAGCCACAGCAGCCTGTACAGCAGCCTCCGCCTCAACAGAAACAACCACCTCCACAACAGGCTCCTCCACAGCAGCCGCCCCCTCAACAGCCGCTCCCTCAGCAGCAGCCCCCTCAGCAGCAGCCCCCTCAAAAGCCTCCTCAGCCTGCTTTTGCCCAAGCGCAGTCTCGTCCGCAATCTCGCGCTGCCGCGTCGTCTCGAGCTGCAAGCCCCAACCCTCAATTTAGCCAGTCCTATGAACGACCGGGCAGCTCCCGAAGCGAAACGACCCTTGCCCTTTCAATTGCGGGTAGCGTACGCGATGAAGGCAGCGTGCGTGGTGAAGGCAGTGTACGCGGTGAAGGTAGTGTTTACGGAGGAAGCCAATATGGAGGCAGTGTGCGTGGTAGGCCCAGCTCGGTTCGACCGCAGAGTTCATACATGGGAGGCAGCGAATTTGGCTTCAGTGGAGGCTCTGCAAGTTCTGTGAGAGCGGAGTCTCGAGTCCGCAGCAAGAGTTTGGCTGAACCGAAGAACTACAACAGTCAAGGCCGACTCATTTTGAATTACTGTAAGTGCTTTTGTCGTATGTGGATGAATTTGACTGACGAAAATACAGCGCGTGCCATGTATTCCTATGCAGCTCAGATTCCAGAGGAGCTCGGATTCCAAAAAGGAGATATTCTTGCCGTCCTTCGCTTGCAGGATGACGGATGGTGGGAGGCCGAGGCGGTTGGCAAACAAGGTCGACCTGGTCTTGTGCCGTCGAACTATCTACAGCCATGCTAGACAGGTTCGGCGGAAAGGGTGGATTAATGGAGTGAGTGATATTGATGACCTTGACTTGATTACATGTTTTTGTCCAGCAGTTTTTACCGCACATACCCTCGTTTTTGCGCTTGTTCGGCGTTGGAAGGCGTGCTCGCTCCTTTATTTGAGTGACGAAGAGATGGATGAGTGGATGGTTAGTATTAGATTGCGTATAACGGTGAAATTGGATACAATACGCATATCATATAATCCAAAACGTACACGAGTATCAACAATCCCACTGCCAGTATTGACTCTGAACGCCTGTTGTGCAACATGCAATGCATGTCTACATGTTATTTCCTACAATAAAGAGCTGCTTGGGTATCAAGAAATTATATAGCAATGCTGTTTGTACGCCGTGAATGCTTTTTGCAATTCAATCCATGCCGTCTTACTCGTACGTGTTCTCATACGGATCGGCATCGTCGATATCGTCGTCCTCACCGTTGTCGAAATACTGCTCGGCATTGTAGTCGTCGTCTGACTCTTCAGAGTCTGTGGATGCAGCGGACCAGTTGTCTTCCTCGTCTACAGCGTCTGGCTTGTCCTCGTCTGCGTCTTCCTCGTCCTCGTCGGCTTCTTCTTCGCCCTCCTCTTCAGCACGGGCCTCGGCTTCATTGGTTCGTTCTTGCTCAGACTTGATCAGGCGCTCGATCTGAGACACGGCGTTGACTTTGGTAACGCCTAGGGTCCTGCGCTTCTTTGTCGTATTTCCGTCCGCTCGTGTCCCGTCCAGGGTCGGTCGTAGCTCGGCTGGAAAGAGGTCCACGACTGCGAATTCATCAGTTCCGCCCTATAGGCATGTCTCAACCAACGTACCATATGGCCGCGCATCCAACTTGGGCAATCTCCTCCGCACCTTCAAGTACTTGGCTGAGTACGTCTGGTTACCGGTAAAGGGGTCGAATAGGGAGGCCTCGGTAGGCGCCGGTTCGTTGGCCTTTCTCTTGAGGCCGTTCTTCATGCCGTCGTTCAGGATAGTGTAAAACGGGCCTTCGTGTATGCGGTCGCGAACTGCGAGGTGGTGTCGAACCATACCCAACTCGTCTTCGGTTGGTGGGGGTGCCTGAGGAGGAGGAGCATCCTGTTCTTTTCTCAGCGAGCATTCCAACGCGTATTACAAGCAGCGCTCATGCGGCTGCGACTAGTAACGCAACGCAATGCGCCAGGCTCTGATCTTGCTCTGAATAGCAAATAATAACAGGGGAAGCTCACAGGAAAGCGCTCGGCGGGCCCTTTCTGGATATCGAGGCCAGTCAGGTCCCAGTTGAGCTCTGTGCCGGCAATGGTTACTGTTCCTCGCGCGGGATTGAAGGCCCCTCCACGCCCACCACCGCGTCCGCCGCCCCGTCCTCCTCTTGCTGGCGGCATTCTGGACTAACAATTACCGTTGTAGTCTTCGCGAGTCCTGCGTGCGGGTTCTGCCTCGATTCGGGCCAAGTACGGTTTGTCAAGTGAGAGCCGGGGAAGGTTGTGGAGTCAGAAATTATTTCGGTGTAGCTCGAGCCGCGGCTTGCTAGGGCTGAGGGTGGGGCGAGCTTGCACCCAGCGCCCCGCCACCTCACCCCCCAGCCTTTACCACGACGCTGCAGCACCACCAGATTGCATTCGGATAATGGAGAGCGAGCCCTGCTGCGACTCATACTACATTTCCCAAGCAGGGCATCATCGCCGAATACCGTTTTCGCTCAAATAAAACCCTGCCCGGCAAAGAGCTCCAATATTGGACTGAGTCGGCCACTGCCAACCGCCACCGTGCATTAGGCTACAGGGAACGCGTGCACTCGACTGCCTACACGTAATCACATGAGCGGGAGCTAGAACCTTCCTCTAGAGCCTACCCGCCACCTTCTAGACTAGGACTATCATCAACATTGCCGTTTGAGCTGAACCTCACCTCCAGTCTGCCCCAGAATTCAACATGGCAACGGCAACAGTGCTCAACGAGCTCACAGAACATCTGCAAAAGGTCGACCAAGACCCCACCTGCACATTGGATACAGACCTGCTCGAGCAGTGCGAGCTCTCCATCAACACTCCCGAGTATAGAAGCCACATTTGGAAGGAGACGAGATCACTTTTCCTGCAAATAGCAGCCTTGCTACCCAAACTTCAACAAGACGCGTCGCCGCTCATCCATTTCGTCGTCAAGTTGGCTGGACCATACCGGTTTGAAGACATCAAGGATGTTGACTTTGAGATTGGCCTCGACCTACAAGCCGTCCCATTCCACAGCCTTCTCCTCACGCTGCTCGAGAAAGCCGCCGCCAGTAGCACAGATGCCCAAGCGCTTGCCAACCGCCCAGCAGTCATGCTGGCTGTAGTCCGCCTGTGGCTCTGTACTACGGAGGAAGGGGTAGCAACACAGGCTGAAGACCTGCTCACCTCACTGCTGGCAGTATCAAAGAACGAACCTGTTGCCATTGACGGGGAGTCGTTGCTACATACCTATGGCACCGGTCCCATGTGGCGGCGACTGTTCAGCGATCGTGACATCAGTTCGCTCTACTACCACTACACTTCACTGAAGGAGCTCAGTTCGCCGCCTCTTCCGCGTCTGAGCAAGCGTGACAAGACCATCGCTCAAGCCAGGCTACTGTCATGGATGCCACGCGTTGCTGCTATGGACTGGAATGCCATAGTTTCTTCATATGGCCTCGAAGTCGAGCGAGAAGTCGGTTTGGAAGAGGGGCAAGGTTTGCTTCATTACGCTGCACTCAGGATGGTCAATACCGAGGACGATATGCTTATGCACATGTCGCTACTCCAGTTCTACAGCATGCTCATCACAGAGGTTCAGACCAAACCACACCTTTCCCATTACGACTCGAGCCTCTCTTTGGACTTTCTAAAACAAGGTATCCACAAAGGACTCATTGACTTTCACACCTCAGAGAACCCCAGTCTTGACCACTCATTTTTGAGCAACCGAACCGCGCAGTACATCAGCGACTATGCGTCGTGTTACCCCGAGAACTTTGAGAATAGCGAGGAGATGCCCATCATTCGCAACTACGTCCACCGCAATATCCGGAAATGCGAAGCGAGTAATCTGAGCATCATCGCCTCCATGCCGAGGTCGACGCTGATACCACGAAGCGCTTCGGGGCTGGCCTGGGATGATTGTGTCATTGTCGATATGCCAATCACCAGGACGAACCAGGACGCTCTGAAGACGCTGGCAGCCATCTTCCACGGCCCGCCAAAGGAAGAAATCACATTCCCGCGGACCGAAACCTTGGGTTCCGATGGCAAGCGGACACAGACAGAAGCCATATACGCGCGCCTCCTGACTGCCCTTTTCTGGAGCAAGAAACCATCCATGTTTGCCGACATCACATCCCACATGGAGACGATTGCCATGAAGGAGAATGCACTGGCTGCGCTGACGCTCGTCGGCGCCCTCATCACTTCCTCATGGTCCGCCGAACCCCTGCCAGACATTTCCCCCAACGACCTGACCTATGCCCGTATCAATGCTTTCCCAAAATCCGGACTCGATGTGATCCTAGATCCTACCATCAGCAGTGGTGTATTCCCCTCGTTGTTAAAACCCGCAACCACGTTTTCCAACCTAGTCGGCGGTCGTGGTGATGCCGAGAATGCGGCATACATCGTAGCAACTGCAAAGTTTGAGGTCTTGAAAACGCTTGGAAGGAAGCTGGAAGAGGACGGCAGTAGGCAAGACGTGCTTGCTATGGTAAGGAGAAGAGTAGGCGAGGGTGTTTGGGGTGATACCTCCAACGCCGGCAGCAGGATCGGCACGCTGGAGCTGTAACGGTCACATCTCCATGTATAGTATGAGTTTTATGTTAATACCAAAAGTATTAGATGTCCCGTCACGAATACCGTCGAAACGCTCAGTTTGGCACAAAAAGAATGAAATTCAAGAGATATACATCAGTCAAGGTTACCATAGCCCACCAGAACAACGCGAAGCCAAAAAAAAGAACCTGGGATATCTGGCCGAAGCCAGACGAATGCTGATGAGAGTGGGACTTGAACCCACGCCACTTTCGTGACCAGGAATATAATGTTAAGATAACCTTAACCTGGCGCCATAACCAACTCGGCCATCTCACCTGTGATTGGTTGATTGATGGAAGAAGTGGAAAATTTGACCAAAAATATTTTCGGTGATTGGCACATGAAAATGGGATTTTGATTCCCTGATGTTGCTTTCCACGGAAAAAATGGTACATGGACGAAGTGTGGGTAGCATCTGATTTTTTTCTTCTGGTGGGTGTGGGGACGCCTGTGCCTAGCACGGAGAAAAAAAAAAGCTTAGTATGAGCGACGAAGAACGCCAGCATGATCGCGCTGTGGGGATGGAGAAAAACATTATTATTATTATTATTATTATTATTATGATCATCCGCGTGAGAGGACACGTAGGAGTTGTCTTCAAGAATATCCCAATGACTATTAGAAATTACGACTGGCTTCCTCAATACGATTACCCTTACCCGCATATCCACATTCCTTCACCACAGCAACATCTGGCTGCGCTGAGCAGCCTATCAACGATGCGCGCACGGCATCTGCGCTGCCAAGTCATGCGAAGGCAAATGCCTCACCATCTACAGCGCTGGTTCTGATAATTCCACTCAAAAGCGGTCAAAATGCCATAATAATGCGCGACGGCGCCGGCAACAACAGCAAGGTGGAATATCTGATGCGAAGCACCGCATATATCGTATCGATTTGGTTTCCAAGACTCGGGGAAGTGTGCCTACGGCATCAATTAGTCAGTCTCTCTTTTCTTTTTTAGAACAGAAAGACTTTGACCAGACTTACTGCGTAGAAGCCCACTCCGACCAGAATGGAGAAGCCCTCTAGGAAATAATATCGTAGCCCAGACTGCTGGTCGAGTTGGGCATAAGGAAAAATGCTGGTAGCATGAATAATTGGGGCGAATGCAGAAAAGCCCGTAGCAACAAAAGTTGATAGCCGTAGACGCTTCCACTTCGGGCCTTGGAAGCTAGGATTCAGGACCACGGTTGCTGTCAGTGCACCCAGCGAGACAATCTAAAATGGCGGTTAGCATTGGTTGAATTAGCATGTCTTTGGGCAGAGCACACGCACCATGGTCCAGTACAGCTTCTGCAGATTGGGTTCGCAGTAGAATGCAAAGTAGAGACCCGGGATGAAGGAGCCCACAATCTGGACGACAATGGCCACATAGTCGAGGCGAACCCAGAGGTCGGCAAAGGTCCGCGAGTGGCATATCAGCGTGTGGTAGGCGGCAGACGTGCCAAAGCAAATGACGCAGGTGGTCAGGAAGATGCGGAACATGAATTCGTCCTTCCATGACGCGTGGGGATACCGTTCTGCAAAGTCGCGGCTGAAGACATGGCTGACTACGAGGCTAAGTATCGCAGGGATGAGGTGGGAATAGATGTTGACTGTTTCGTTGTGTAGGTACGCGAGGCTTTGGACGCAGAGTCGCGTCGATTTGGTGACGGGGCGGTAGGCCGTTAGGATAAAGGTATTGTGGGCATACCACGGCGGTACTTCATCACTCCGAAAGAGCTTGGGTGTTGTCCAGGGGAAGATTGCGCCTGACATGTCTCCGCGGGGCTCCCCCCTAGCAGCCGCGTCGGAAGTCATGGATGGCTGGGTTGGACGAGGAATGGGGATTCCGGGGTAACTGTATTTACAAAAAAATCAGTATTAAATGGTGGTCTGATGAATGTCTCCAGCTTTGACGGCTCCGGTCGACCTTCGAGTTATCGTCGCTCGAGTTGTCGTCGCGTCGGTCGACTCAAGCGTGGGACATTTGACCTCTTGCGCACCTGACACGTCGAGAGCTGGACACGAGTCCCGGATCACAAGAAGGAACGTCTCTGCGGCCCTAGCAGTTTACAAATACGCGCTCACATCCGGCGGAATGTCCAAGCGGGAAATCTTCGGGCCAAATAGCCTCGATCCCGCATAACATGACGCAAAGACCGTGTAAATCTCAAAACTGTCGGGCGATCTTCATAAGCGGCACGCATGCAGGTGCATGACTTGTGCCGAGTTTTGACAAGTCTACAGCCGATTGCGAGGTTGCAGGTTGCTCAGTAATCCACCTGGAAAAACGGTGGTTAGAGCTGTTAGCGTACCATGTGGAGTTGGTCACATCCCTCGCATCCGCCCCTGCATATTTGACAAGTATAGACGTGAATACATGTTAGTGGCTGAGACTGAGATATCAGGAAACGGGCACTGTTGGCCTTGTTTTCAAGCTTCCTTAAATAGTTGGTTGAACGAAAGCGGAACGGAAAGCTTCAAAATAGCAGTCAGTATATGTAAATGGGATGCTACCGGTAACCACTTGCTCATGCATTTTCCTTCACTCCCTCGAGTATTCGAGCAACCGCTTTTGCATGCCGTAATCAAGCCAAGTCTAACGCCGTCGCTGATGATGATCCCAGATGATGAGCTTGGTCTTTGTTGGTCGAGTAGCATACTGAAAATGTGTCCCTGAAAAAAGAAAGATTTACTCTGCTACTTCCATCCCTTCGGCTCTCTTCCTGTAAATCTCGCGCCTTTCGGACAACTCGGGGTCTTTGCCTGCGGCCTCGATGATGTCGACCTTTGGTTGCTCTTCCACCATGTCGACACGACCCGGTCTCCTGGGTCTCAAGCTGGTCCTTTGTGTGATGGGGTAAAAGTATGCCGCCTTCTGCAGCTTTGTATCCCTCAGTGGCTCACTCTCGTGCTTCTCGGGATCGTGTAGTGCAAGCGCAACCACATCGCCATAGGTATCGCTGGGGTCGCCGACTTGCTGTGACGTCTCGTAGGTACGGATGTTCTCGTACTTGAAACATTTGCGCGGCTGGCCTTCGTCGTCTTCGGCAATATCGAAATCGATGTCGCTCTCGTTGTTTGGGTCGTGCGTTGTAAAGTTGCGCCTGATGCCGCGGACTTTGCCCTTGTCGGAGGGCAGGAAGAACTCGAACTGGTAACGTGCAATGGGCGGCGGAACAGTTGGGTCGAGCTTGTGCGCTTGGAGATCTTCCATGTACTTGTCTTGGTCTTGAATGGTCTGACCAGCAGGACGAAGCAGAGCGACGTCGAGTCGCGAGTCGTATGACGGGTCGAGTGGGTTGTTGATGGGTGGCGCGGTGAACTTGAAAACCATGTAGCCGCCCGTGTCGGGGGTGGCGTCCCAATCAGGGAGGAGTGGGTACGAGTCGAGCAGCTTGAGGTTGGGGTTCCTTGGGTGCTTTGGCTTGTTCCACGCCAGCCGCTCTTCGGGCGTCGATTCTGCCGCCCTGATGTTCTCGGCGTTGTCTTGTCCATTGTATGCATCTGCTGGGTAGGCAATGTTGAAGCCCTTGAGAATGTGTCGCGAGATGTTGGTAGGATCGTCCAGGGATGTCTCTACCTGCTTCCGCTTCCTGCGCAGACGCATCGTGTTGGACGAGTTGCTCGACTCAAACTTGGAACCGCCGGTAGTGCTTGCGGTAACGTATTCGGTTCGTCGCAAGAAGGTGGCGCCCGTCGCATTGGTGCTTGTCTTGCCAAGCGCATTCGGCGGTCGCATCAGCGCCTTGTCTGCTGCACTGAGCGGCGGCGGATGGGGCATCGCCTGGATAGCTGCACGACGCGTCAGTTGCTGTGCGGCATTGCGCTGCAGGCTTGCTCTTACCAGACTCGTCGCCGTCAAAGACCTTGGGGATACCCACCAAGTCGATGGGCATACCCAGCTCAGCATCAGCCTCAATATTCAGCGACTGCTCCCGCGCAAGCCTGGACGCAAAGCCTGCCGACGTGTACTGTCCGCTCGAGAGGCCGGTGTTGGGGATATCGAGCAGCTTTGGCGGGCATGGTGGAGGAGGAAGCGCATTGGAATATCTGATTTTCGCAATGTAGTCCTGATGGACGACAGGGCGCCCGGAACTCATCTTGCTGTGGGTTTGTTGTGTGTTGGAGGTGATGGTGGTGGTTGCGCGGTCCTGCAAGGGCCAAAGAAAGTTGATGAAGCTCGGAATGCCGACGCGCCAGGCCTCGCCGCGCCAAGACCAACCCGCGCTATCACCAGGGGCGGAGTTCCTGGGTGTACATACACGTCCTCGAGTCAGCTCCACGGCTTTGCGCCTGTTTTTTGTGACGACAAGCACCCACTCTGCACATTCGGCAGCAGAGATAACATAACGACCGTGATGATATTAATTATATATGTCCTAGCATGCCCCGACTCCTATTTACAGCCAACAATCATGCCATTACTCGGGTTTTGTACTGTCTATTGCCAAAATGCATAGCTGCGTTTTCCATTTACCCAAACGCCATTTTCATGCCAGCCCTACATCGAAACTGGCGGGTAGGGTAATCAGCCACGACCGACGCCTCAATACACATTACAACGCCATTGCTCGTTTACTGCGCCTTCCTGGCCTTGGCCATCTTGCGCTCTCTGCGCTTCTTGGAGGCCTCTGCGCCAGCCTCGGTGTCGAGAACATAGTCCCACCACCTGAAGCTGCTAGCGTAGTTGCCAATGAACTTCTCGTGGTGGACGTCGTGGTGCTCGGCGCCGGCCCAGAAAGGCAAAAAGTGGTGCAGGCTCCAGGGGAACTCGTAGCCGCTGTGGGCATCGATGGCCTGGAAAAGACGGACGACGATCCAGATGTACATGGTCAGGAGGTGGAGGTCCTTGGTGATGGCGCACCACATGATGGGTACACCGACAGTTCCGAAACCCAAAATCATGACCTCAATGGGCGAGGCATACTCGGCGGCGAGACCAAAGGGAGCCGAGTACTGGTGGTGGATCTTGTGGATGTTCTTGTACAGGAAAGAGCTGGCGTGCATGGCGCGGTGGGTCCAGTAGTGCCACGCATCCTCGCAGACGAAGAAGATGGCGAGCTGGTATGCTATCTTGTAGATGCTGGGGAAGGGGACAGACGTCTCGAGGCCAAAGTACTGGCACATGGGGTGGAACAGCCAGATCTGGGGAAGCTCGACGGTGAAGTGGGAGAGGAGGACGAGGAGAGCGCATTGCATTTGCTCCCAAGCAGTGGGGATCTTGTGCTGCGACGTATTAGCTTCGGGTGCGCCGGGGACCTGTTCCGACACGTACCTGCTGGATCTTGTAGCGGTTGAAGTAGGGTATGCAGTCAATGATGATCCAGGGCAGCGAGCGTCCAAAGTAGAGGGCCTCGTGAATGACAAACGACATGATGCCCGTAGCCAGGACGTCGTTGCCCATCCAGGCGTACCACGCCATCCACATCTTCTCCAGGTAGTTGAGCTGCACATTGTACTTTGAGATTTCCTCAAAGGAGCCCCAGTACGTGTCCTGCGCCATGGGCGTCAGAACGGAGGTTGCGTTCCTGGTGCGGGTAAGCAAGTGTTATTGTGCTGGCGGAGCAGCGCTTCGGGGACTTACATTTTGGCCGCTTGCGATGCGCCCGAGACCGGCCGACAGCAGTCTGGGAGGTACGGAGGAAGAATGAGGCAGAGGAATGACTGCAAGCAGCAGCAGAGGGATGGTGAGGGAGCGATTGGGCGGAGGGGGCCGTGAGGTGCGTTGTAAAGTAACAGCAAAGGAGGCGGATTAAATTGCAGATTGGCGACGCCCTGATCGCCCTTGGAGCCACTTTTGCCACAAGTTTACCCTCTGTTTGGACGGGCTGCGCGTGGGTATCCAGGGGACTAGTGCCTGCCGAGACGTGGGTACCGGCATGGCGGCCCAATCACACACCGCCTGTCCATGCCCGTTGGGGCTGACCGCCTGGCGCCGCATGGCGAGATTTTGGCGGCGGCGGAACCAGAGTTCCCGGCTACCTTCACATCACACCAGCACCAGCCCGCTACCCCTAAACAGCCCGCCAGTCTCTCCATGGCATCATGTCACCGTGAGCCCACCCGATGCCGATGCACCTACATACAGCACTCGCCTAGCCGCCATGGATGCCGCTGCGCTCCTCAAACGCAGTTGCCGTGGCAGTGCTGCATGACGCGGTCCGTCCAGCAAATCACAGCCTCGCCAGTACGACGCCGTGTCACGCGGGGTATCACGTGACGTGCTTCTTTCGCGCCATGCACAGTGACAGCACTCCTCTAGCAACCACTATCCAGATTGCACTATTTGCTATAGAGTGTAGCTCAATCATGTCGACGTCAACGCAAATCCTTCCGCCACCATACCCGCAAAAGACCCATTGACAGGAGCGAGGCAGCGCCAAGGCCCTTGGTCTTGATATCGAATTATACTTTCCGTCGTGGTGATTGGGCAGTCGACCGACTGGCTGGCCACGACGATACCACACGAACATGGTCAGAAAACAAAGCTATCGTTCCACCTCGAGTCTGTTTCTCCCAGACATAGGCCGTGTAGTCGAAATTTCGGCAGACCCGCTGGTCGGCTCCTCTGGCATCTTGGAGCCCTCCGAAATCAATCAGGGAGTCCCTTTCGTAACTGCGTTCCATCCCATATCTCTGAGTGCCAAGTAGACACACTTGAAACGCGTTCAATTGGCTCAAGAACCCACTCAGGCCGCCTGAATTCCCGACCATCCAAGTCTAGCGTCGAGCGAGGTGACGGAATGATGAGGTTCCGTGGCATATCGGGAACGGCTGCTGGCCTCCATTCATTCACGAGGCGCGCTTCTGGGCTCGGCATGGAAGCAGGCTGCTCTCTGTTCCTCACTCTGCCCAACGCTTTACGAAATAGCGGCCGCAGGAAGGGTATGGAGCCTGCTATGAGGCCAGCGTGTTGCTCCACTTGACTCCACAACAGCACGTTTGCCGTATTCTGAGCCTGCTTCTCAAAGCCGGACAACCACGCGATGATCGTGGAAAGCCGAATTGCCGAGGCCACAATGGCGAAGATGCCGACCGAGAAGATGCCAACGAGCTCGAGACGCTGTCTTAGTGGCATGACCTGGAGATTTAGGAACAAGACCATCGGCAGTGTCCAGATGATGACATCCGTGACAAGATTGAAGCCTGCGTTGAAAAGCCAAAAAGGCCCCGGATTATAGCAGTGGGCGTGTTTGCCCTGCAAGCCGGCCACGAAGACTTTGAAAGACCACGCGTCACCGACCGGATAGCACATGAAGACAGAAGCAATGACCATAGCAACGCCGCCAACGATGATGGTGCCTAGTATCGTACGGGAACAGTAGTGGAAGCGCTTGTTCGACGCGGCGATATCATTGTAGACTGCCCATCCTTCGTTAGCGCAATGCACATTGGCAAGCCAGTTGGTGACAAGTATCGAGCACTCGCGTGCAACCTACTGCAAGCGGCACCTGATACCTGCATCGGCTGACTTGGACAATCTCAAGCAGAATGCGACGTACACAATAGAATGGACGTTTTGATGAGGCAGAGATCGATGATGTAGATCATTCGGTAAAGCCAAAGCGATAGCAGTGAACCGACGATTACTCTCTCAATTGTTTTTGGATCACTAGGCTTTGAGATGTTAGTCTTTGGTTGCTCGCTAGGAACACACAGCTTACTTTCATGCTTCTTTCTTCCAAAAATCGGACCATGTACAAGTTAACTACTGCGGATACCCTGTTCAACGGCGCGTGTGAGCAAGTTTGCATATTATCTGCATTTCGTGGCATATTACCAGGTCGAAAGCTACGTCATTAGTCAGTGTCTCTCGTTGAAGAGCGAATCCGCTTACAAGTGCGAGAAGCATGATCCAGTCAGCAGCAGTAATCTTTCCAACCAGAAAGTGCCTGGTGTAGAGCCTGCCATGCGTTAGGGGATGCAGTCATCGAGTGAATTCGGCCATGTCCTTACCTGAGGGCCACCACTATGGTCGAAGTTGAGGTGAGCGCCATGGCGAGCACGACAGAGAGCTGCCCGTGAGGAGCCATCTGGAAACAGTGTTGACGCAGAAATGGCTACGTCCTGGAGACGGATAGATGGCCATGGACATAGTTGCTGTGTCGGCATCAAGGAGAATCCACACTAGTCATGTTCACATCTTTGCCAACCAGAGATCCAAGCCCTAATCGTCAAACGTATACCCTCACCACTATGACAGCCAATCGAGTTAGCGAACGCCACCATGCGGCGGGCTGGATCTCCGCGCAAGGATCGGGATTGGAAGCGGCAGAGCTGGACGAACAGCGACTCGCTATCGCCAAGGCCAGCTCTCGACATTCGAAATGCCAATCGTACCAAGAAGAGAGGGTCCATAGTAATGCATCATTGATATAGATGGGCAGCCCTGCACCGGCATCACATTCCTTTGCTTCCCCGCAGTGATACCACGCGAAGTCTCTCTAAGCGACTGCATCCATTCGGTCTTAGCATGGGCGACAAATATTCAAATGTGCGCCCAGGCCACATATGAGACAGTCCACCGATTCAAGCTCTTCTCTGGCCAGGTACTCCTTCGTTCTCACAAACTCAAATGTGATCCCAGCTCTTATTACTCACGGCAGTTGGATTCGCATGGCAAACGACTGCTCCTTTGGCCCCAAAAGGACAAGAGTTAAGATGCGTCCGCTGGCAATCGACCAAACCAGTTCGGAATCAGAGCTGTAGGGTGTGTAGAAAACCGCATGTACAGAGCTGACAGCTTCAGGGATGAAGAGTATATTCGCTTGCAATGACGTGGTGGACTAGTTCCGGTAGCAAGCCCCTGGATTTACTGCATAGCTGCTAAGCGTTTCGCACGCAAGGCTGTATCAAATTGAGCCACGCGTGGCCCACCACGGGAGGGATGCGGTGGGAAGCCCATTACGTTGCTAACGGATCTGTGGCGTGTCCGGGTTTGAAGACAGAGACCAGTGTCCAAGAGCAGCTAGAGGATGGCATCTGTCATATATATGGAGCTGAAAATCATAGTTGTTCGTTCAACATGTCCAACTACCGGAGGTGCTCCATGCTGGGGGCTGTGACAAGCACAGAGGCGACTAACTGGTTACGTGGACTATGCGTATTCTCCGTGCGATCCTTGCTGGGCAGTATGATATATAGTACAGCCTGGTGGCCAGTAGGAAGATGCTGGGGGGACGGTGGACCGATTCCAGCTGGAGCTCGCAACTGCAACCATGAGTCAAAGCTTAGTAATTGCGGGCCGAGAAGCGGTAGATGGGATTCGCCGGGCTGGTGTAGCTGCGACGGTGACGATGCAGTTGCTGTATGTACTGCGGTATGGCTAGATGTGGAGGTCTTGGGTCGGTCCCCTGTCTAGACGCGTCGGGCGCGGTAGGAGCGTGCGAGCGCGGAAGCGAGCCGCGGTTGTCGGCCTAGCGCATCCTTCTCAGTGATATCATCGCTCCGTGTCAAAGTTATCCATCGTGCTCGCAACTTTGTTAGGCAAGACGCTCTGCGTGAAGACCGTATGACTCACCCTCTTGCGGTTCTGTTCTCGTAGCGCGATGCGTTCGTTTACTCGATAGCCTTCTGGCTTGCCTCCCTGTCCGCCGTCGACTGCCCGCTGTTGCCTTGAGCGCACCTTCCCTCGAACCAACCTCACCTTGGCGTTTGCGGGGCCTTCACCACCTGCCCTTCGTATCCCTGCCTGCATTCAAATCCTCGATCGAATCCCTCCAATTCCTGCATCTCGAGTTCGCGCGCCCTCGCAATGTCTTCGCCTTCCGAAGTGTCAGCCGTGTCGCCCACCATCCCCGACGACAACGAGGCCAAACAAGTGGTGGGTAATGGCGAAGAACTCCCAGGCGAAGACATTCCCTCGGACGCGGATGAAGCGGAGCGGCTCAGATTCCTGACAACGGGGACCCGAGCGCAAGATGATCTGGAACGGGATATTGGCCGTCAGGCGGACCAGATGCTCATAGAACAAGCTGATGCTCGAGATCAAAAGCGCATAGAAAAGCTCGAGGGCGAGGCAAAACGGGCAGAGGCCGCTGTACAAAAGATCAAGAACCGCCTCGCCCTGCCAGCCCTCGAATCACAAAAGGCAAAGCTTCGGGGCGAAATGGCAGCGTATCGGCAGAAGATTGACGACTTGGACAAGGAGATGGATGGCATACAGCAGCGCATCAACGATCGCCACAAGGACCCCGACGCGAACGAAGCAGTAGGGGATGGCGTGAATGGGCCACTGTCTAACGAAACCCAGCGCGAATGGCTCATTCGCACCGGAAAGATCACGCCTTTCTCCAAGTTGGCGCAGACCCAGCCAGGCTCAGCAACGCTGGGAGAGGTCATGTTGGATGCCGAAGTCGAGGACATGGTGGTCGAGGCTGCAAAGGGACCAGTGTCGCATCGCAACCTGATGAAGCCTGGCTTTGAGGACGTCGGATCCAGCTCAGAAGCTCCCAGCCCTCAACCTCCAACGCGACCAAGGAAGCGAAGAAAGGCTAGTCCTGCTAGCGATCCCAACACAGGATCTGATTTCGCCGATGCAGACTCTGACGACGCATTTGAGCTCGGAATGACCGATCGTCAGCTTGCTACACTTGATGAGTCGGACGGAGACTTGGAGGATACGGCCGAAGACGACTCATATGCAGAGGAAACTACTGGTCGTAAGCGAAAGGCCAAAGGCAAAAAGACGAAGAAGGCCAAGATTGCACCAGCTAAAGAAGCAGTCGAGGATCTGGCAAGTGTCGACGACGGTAATGAGCGAGTCTACCGGAAACGTATCGAAATTTGGTCAAAGAGTCGTGCCGCTGCAAGGAAAAAGGCGAAAGCCAACAGTAGTGAGGCAGCCGAAGATGAAGAAGGAGAAGAGTGTTACCAGCCCCATCCTACCAAAGCTGACACAGAGTTTGACGGTGGTTTTCGGATTCCCGGTGACATCTACCCAGCCCTGTTCGACTACCAGAAGACGGGTGTGCAATGGCTATGGGAACTGTACTCCCAGAACGTGGGTGGAATTATTGGAGACGAGATGGGATTGGGCAAGACGATACAGGCCATCAGCTTCGTGGCTGGTCTCCATTACTCAAAGCTGCTTACCAAACCTGTCATTGTGGTCTGCCCAGCGACTGTCATGAAACAATGGGTGAATGAGTTTCATCGTTGGTGGCCGGCCCTCCGAGTCTCTATTCTGCATACCTCGGGTAGTGGCATGCTGGACACCCGACGCGAAGATCGTTTAGAACGAGAGATGGAGCTTCGAAACTACAGCGACTACGACACAACTTTGACTGGCGCTGGCAAGGCTGCAAAAAAGATACTCGAGAAGGTCAAGCGTGATGGACACGTACTCGTCACCACGTACTCGGGACTGCAAACCTATGCCGAGTTCTTGATTCCTACCGAATGGGAATGTGCCATCTTAGATGAAGGGCACAAGATTCGAAATCCCAACACCGCCATCACCATTCACTGCAAAGAACTTCGCACGCCAAACCGCATCATTCTTTCAGGAACTCCGATGCAGAACAACCTGACTGAGCTTTGGTCATTGTTCGACTTTGTTTTCCCTATGCGGCTTGGCACTCTTGTCAATTTCCGGAATCAATTCGAGTTTCCTATCAAGCGTGGTGGATATGCAAATGCTTCGAACCTGGAGTTTGAGACTGCAGTCAGTTGTGCAGAAACTCTGAAGGATGCAGTCAGCCCATACTTGCTCCAGCGTTTCAAGTCCGATGTAGCAACCGACCTGCCACAAAAGAAGGAACAAGTGCTTTTCTGCAAGTTGACACGACAGCAGCGGCAAGCGTATGAAAAATTTCTAGCATCAGAGGATATGAAGTCAATCGCAAGTGGCAAGCGGCAGATGCTGTATGGTGTCGACTATCTTCGCAAGATATGCAACCACCCTGACCTTACAGAACACAAGACGCTGTCTAAGAAGCCCGAATACGACTATGGCAACCCCAACCGGTCGGGAAAGATGCAGGTTGTCAAGGAATTACTGTCGTTGTGGAAGAAGGGTGGACACAAGACCTTGCTCTTTGCGCAGCATCGCATCATGCTCGATATCTTGCAAAAGTTTATTAGCCAGCTTCCAGGCATCAACTGGCGGCGGATGGATGGCGAGACACCCATCAAGGATCGGCAGAACATGGTTGACGAGTTCAATAAGGACCCGGATCTCCACGTCTTTTTGCTTACTACAAAAGTTGGCGGTCTCGGCGTCAATCTTACAGGTGCTAATCGAGTCATTATCTACGACCCAGATTGGAATCCGTCGACCGATGTGCAGGCGCGAGAGCGGTCGTGGCGTCTTGGACAGAAGCGAGAAGTTGAGATCTACCGCCTCATGTCTGCTGGCACTATTGAAGAAAAGATCTACCACCGTCAGATCTTCAAGCAGTTTCTGACGAACAAGGTGCTGAAAGATCCAAAGCAACGACAAACGTTCCAGATGAGTGACTTGCACGATTTATTCACCCTGGGTGTTGAGAGTGCCGAGGGGGAAACCGAAACTGGCAACCTGTTCCGGGGCTCCGAAGTCAAGTTTGAGGAGGACGGCAAGATGGCAGAAGCAACAGACGATGCTACCGCTGCCGAGGATCTCGCGGCAGTAAAAGGCATATCTCGATCTGAAGCCTTCAAAGCCCCCGCCTCAGACTCTGAAGAAGCGCCCACTGCAAACGAAGACGGTACTCCGGCCGACAACAAGCCTCCAGCGGACTCACGCCTCATGTCGACTATTTTTGCCAAAACAGGCGTCCACTCTGTGCTCGAGCACGACGCAATCATGAACTCGACTGCTGGCGGGCGCAAACGCAAAGTGCAAGCTGATCCTGCCTTCATTCGACGCGAGGCAAAGCGACAAGCGGCCATGGCAGCCGAGCAGCTGAGAAAAAGCATGGAAGAAGCGAGAAACGTACCTGCGGGTACGCCAACCTGGACAGGTCAATTCGGCGAAGCAGGCCGTCCCCAGGCCGCACGGGGAGGATCATCTTCACGCGGGGGACGCGGTGGGCGAGGAGGCCTCCCCTCATCAACGTCTATTCTCAACAACCTCGCAGCCCGTCAAGGCCGCCCGGTACCCAGCACGCTGTCGGCGTCTTCTTCACGGGGCTCCACGCCAGGCACTTTTACCGCCACAACACCACAGACGTTCCGCGGACGGCGCATGCTCGAAATGATCCGCGACTTCATGCTTACGCATGGCGGCGAGGTGCCCAGTCGCATGCTCGTCGACCACTTTGACCATTACTGCCGCGCGCAACCTGGCCGCAACGAAGAGTTCAAGGAGATGCTCAAGCTGATTGCTACGCTTGAGAAGAGCGGGAGTGCCCAACGCGGCAGATGGGTATTGAAGGATGAGTGGAGGACCCCAGCGTCAACGCGAGGTACGAGTAGCTCCCGCCGTGGGGGATAATGGTAGAATTGAGTATATATATATATATATATATATATATATAAGTGAGAGAGAAAGAGTATACTAAATGTCGAAGCAAGGAGAGCGACTCACTTTGGTGCGGTTGAATGGCGGTCGTCATTATACTAGGCGGATATATTGCTGTCTCTCTTCATCCTTCTTCTTTCTTGCTTATTTTCTTCTTGTTCTCTTTTCCTCTTGTTTTTCTACTTCTCTTCTCTTTTATCTTTTCTGTTTTTTTTTCTGCTTTTTTTTTCTTCTTTTCCTCGCATCTTGGTTCCGAGGGGGTTCACAATGCTTTCATCAGGGGAAGATACCCATTTGCTGTCTTTTTTTTTTTGGTTTTTCGTTTTTTGTCTTCTTTCGCTTCTCAAGTTATTTATTGCTTTTCTTTTTTATTCGCTAGCTGTACGTAATTAAGTAGATTGATAGTGGAGTACATAGTCACGTGTAGAGGATATGAGAGAGAGAGAGAGAGATGAAAATTCAGTGTATAATGACTTAGATACAAACATTCCCCAGGTTTTTTCTTCTTCTTCTTTGATAGTAGGTCAATTTAGTAACAAGACTCTGCATCATGGATTGACAGAAAAGACTCGAGGACCCCCCCTTGAGGGCAATCATATCGTATTTCATCTTTGCTTTCTCCTACCCTGCACCCTCCCCCTAGACAGATGCGCGCGCACACCCCTTCTTCGCCATCCATAGCGACACAATATTACTAAAATTCGATATACTTTGCAAAATTATCTTCTTCTTTCTTCCTTCACCTGTCCTTGATTCCCATCCTCCCATGACAATCGAGGAAAAAAAAGCAAGGAAAGGAGGGAAGAGCAGATGTGGTTTTAAAATAAATAAATAAAAAGAACGCCTTACAACGCCAGATGCTTGCTACCTTTACTTTTGTCCCCAAAGAAATCAGGAACTAAAGAGTGGCTGTTAGATTGTTGGATGGATAGGTAGATTTGCTTTGCCCTGTCCCGACTGACTGACTGCCTTTGGAAAATAGTGGCCGTTTCAACACCCAACCAACACCCATTTTATGTTGTTCTTGCAAAAACAAGGAATCTAAAGGAGTGAGAAATGCGATGTATACATGTATATATGAACAGGTGTGAAGCGTAAGAAGGAATGGCGTAATCGTAAGCGACATAGGTGATCGAGTCTTGCGTCAAGCGTCTTTTGAGGAGATGTTGTGGCGAGTCGAACCAGATCGAAGCGGCTTGTTCATCACCACAGGCCAAATTGGTAGGTGAAGTAGAGTAATGAGCCGATGGTGGTTCCGGTGGTGAAGAACATGGTGGTAAAGGTCATTCGTTCGAGGTTGGAAAAGGCCGAGTTGCAGTTGGGGCAATTCCAGCCATCTGTGTTTTGTTAGCTGATGAGATTTGGAGGAATCAAACGGAGAGATGACATACCCTGAAGAGAAGTGTAGGGCTGGGGCAAGTACATGCCAAAGGTAAAGGCGGTAAAAGCACCCAAGTAACCGGCTCGTGGGGCAGCGGTGACGGTCGAGTTGGAGTCGTAGATGAGGAGCTTGTAGTTCTCTGTGAGGAAAGGGGCCTGGCCCTGGGGCGTCTCGCCCGTGTTCCAGAGGACCTTTGTGTTTGTGGCAGACATGTTGACGGCGATGGTGTAGGTGGCTTGGTTAGCGGTGCACGAGGCGAGGACGTCAATGGCAGTGGGTGTGACGGAGAGCGAGGTGTAGTTCCAGGCGAATGTGATCCAGTCGCCGACCTTGTAGAATTGCGAGCCGGCCAGGGCGTCTGGGGTAACCATGGTCAGACCACCGGCCGGGAGACGGGGGTCGAAGCTTGTCGACTTTGATGGCTTGTTGGTTGTCTTGCTGCCGGACTGCTTGCCTGTGAGGGAGCCAGTCTGCTTGGCGTCGCTCTTGTTGTCGCTGGTCTTGTTGTCGTCGTTGCCACTCTTGTTGTCGTTGTTGTTGCTGCTATTGTTGTCATTATTGTTGTTGTTATTGTTGTTGTTGTTATCGCCAGTCGGCTTAGGAGCTGGTGTGCTGGCTGGGGTGTCTGTGTTCTTGTTGTCATCTGGCACACGCGTTAGCATTCACGCCCCAGGCAATTCTTCAGGACAGACTGACTGTTGTTGTTATTGTTATTGTTGTTATTGTCCTGTCGTCCCAAAAGCACGTCCTTGACACCGGCCAGGCCGTGGATATTGTCAAAAGCATCCGTCAGGGCATGCGTGACGGACGACATGGCCACGACGGCGGCGAGAATGCGAGTGGGCCTCATGGTGTGAGATTAAAGTCGAGTACTACTAATAAGTAGTGCTTCCGGGCGCAGAGGAACACGGCTATCGTGAAACAGCGAGCGAGCGAAGAGAAAGGCGCGGGGAGGGGAGAAGCAAGGCCAAAAGCGGTCGTGGGTGGAGTCGGGGTGGTCAACAAGACGGGCGGGCTGCAGCTGCGACACAGGTACGATGGATTACGCAAGCCGTGTGTGGTGCTACTCCTTGGTCGGATGAAACGAGCGACTGGCGAAGAAAAGCGTGGTGGTGGTGGTGATGGAGGAGGGGGCGAGGAGAGGGGCGGGAACGAGGGTGCGGCGGGCGGCAGAGAGAAGGAGAGGGAGGTGGAGGAGCGAGAGCGAGCGAGATGATCAAGGGATTCGAGGCTGGTGAAAGGAGAGCCGTGCTGGTTGGTCTCAGCGGGAGCAGCAGCACAGGCGAGCGGAGGCGGCGGCGACGAAATAGACCAGGGGGGGCCCGATGCCGCGCTAAGGCTATTGTAGCGCTAAATATAACATTCTAGCTCCGCAACAGAAGTATTGTCCGAGGTCATCTCTCATGCGCTCTCGTATTGTTGCATTGCTTATTACAGTACATGGATTTTTCGCTGGGTCTTGTGCTGCACAAGGCCGTGGTGCTGTTGCCAGCGGTCCGCGTGGCGCCCTTTGGTCGCTGCAAAAGCATCTCGTTGCCCGACACGCCGGCTTTGGGCTTTGCATCGCCACGCACCATCACCAGCATCACCCTACCATCACCCTCACACCACCACCACCACCCCTCTCAGCTGCTGCCAGCCTCCGGCGCTCCAGGCAATGCATCACCACCTCATCCACCGTCCCAGGCAGTGTTTCCAGAGGCACTGGCAGCGCGGTTGGCGTGCATGCACTCTACGTACTGAAACCGTTGGTCACAGCTAAGGCTAGGGTCCCCTGAGCACATTGGGACTAGCCCCGCCAGCCTCTTCCCTACGCTAGTCTCCTGAATCGCCTCTAGCCGTCCTGCCTGTGTACTTACATCCACTATCCACTGCGACTACACTGACACAGCCATTGCGAAGCCCCGCACGTTACCCAGCCTCCTCTTCATACAGACACACATACACACACATACACACATGCTGCACACAGTCATCAGAAAGAGGCCATGCCCCGTAGCTAATAGTATGTACCCCACGTTGCGCACGGCTTCGCTGCTCCTCCATCCTGCACAGTGCATAATATAAACATACATGAAATCTCATTATCTAAAGGGTATCCGCTCATATCCAACCCGTTGACTAAATCAACCAACATCAATCACTCAGACTTTTTCCCCCGCAACTCATCCCCGCTTGCCTTCCCACCATGCCTTGTCCTTCTCCCGACGATGAGGCATACTTTCCCGAATATCCGTCTCACGATCGCTGGCAAACTCGACGCTCCTCGCTCGGCTCCGGCTCCGCGCTCTCTCCATTTTGACGCTGTTTCTTCTCGCTGGCGGCTTGTCATCAGCTGGGAATGTCGACCTCGGTGAAAATGTGTCTCTACGGCTCTTCCGTGGCGAAACAGGGCTGTCAAATCCACCTACTTTGCTGTTGGAAAAATCGGCTGACATGGGCCGTGGCGCCCGCCGTTTGCTCTTAGTCGAGCTGGTAGCAGGTGGCTTCTTGACATAGTCGTACGTGGCTGGGTCGCGCCGAGCAAGCTCCCGTTCCAGCCTCCACAGCGGAGCTTCGGGTAGCACTTTGACCGCATGCGTGTCTCTCCACTTGATCTTCCAGAACACCTCAGCGTCGCCCGCACGCGAGTTGTTCGCTCCGTAATCGACAACAAGCTTGTAGCTGTCCGTTAGTCCCCGTGCCTCGTAGAGGCCGCGGTCCTGCACGCCAGGTCCTTCTAGCCGGAACCGCGTGCGCACCGACGGGTGAATGTACTCATTCGTTTGCCGCAGAGGCCGGTCTGTTGCGCGACCCGTGTGCGGATCTACTGCCGTGTATTGCCCAGGCTTGCGTTGCTTTTGTATGCGTTAGTCCTGCCGCGGCCACAGTACTAAAAAAAAAGTATACTTACAGAACTTCCCCCCAATGCAAAAGCTCCCTTGAGCTCACTGTAGATTTTGCCAAAACTCCATGGTCGGATGGCGCCCTCTTCTTTCTTGTAGTACTTTTCATTGAGATCATCCTGTTCAAACAGATATTCACCCCGCATGTCCAAGAAGGGCTCCAGCTGGCTCATCATCCACGCAAGACTAATGTTAGCAATTTGCATATCATCGTAGCCCCCTCCTACGTTTGCGTGCGCACCGGGAAACCATACTTGACGGAGTGTCGTGCGGTTTCCCTCGGGCTTCTCCCACACAGCCGGCGCAAACGACGACCGATTCTCGTCCAGAGCAAGCGCCTGGAATGCATTTTCCACGCAGTTGGAAAGCTTCGTGTCGTAGAATGTCGTTGCTCTGGATTGTTTTGTCTGCAGCCCTGCACGTTGCAGGATGCCAATTCTGGGTATGCCAAGACTTCCGACTGTATCCCACACCGCTATGCACTTGATGGGAATATCCAGCCTCGTCAGGCCCCGACGCTCCAGCTCTTCCGCATATCGTGGATCACTGGCGCTTGGTTTCCGGGGAAATGGAATGTCCTCGTGCTTTGGCCGGTAGTCCTCGTTTCGTCGGTTCTGCACGTCTTCGTACACTTCTGGGAGAGTGTTCAAGCCCTTCTTGGTCAAAAGCCCAATTTCCGAAATCAGACCACCGATACTGCGCGCAGTGAAGGCGCCGCGCGAGAAGCCAAGTAGGAATATCTCGTCTCCGGGATGGTAGTTGTTGGCAAGAAACGAGTAGGCTTCCCGGACATCCTCCGAAAGTCCCTTGCCCGTCGTGCCGCCGACAAGACGTGAAATCTTGCCGCCTTCGGTTCCGAGGCCCTGGTGGTAGTTTACAATTTGCTGGATTCCGTCCTGGCTGACTGCCTTGATGGCTCTGGAGATCCGCGTAATGTTGCTGGGGATGGAAAGGGTACCATTCTTCATTCCGTCATCCGAGTTTAGCCACGTGCCGTCACATGCAACAATCAGCCTCTTAAACATTCCCCTCCCCCCGCTCAGGCCAGGCGCATCCACCGCCGGCTCGTTCCGGCCTCTGCTCATACTTCTTGCTCGGGGTGGAGCGGGCACGTCGACAATGAGTGGTGATTTGGCGCCGCTTCGTGGCATTTCCACCACAATGGGTGCTGGGGTTAAGGGCGCTCTGGTGCTGGGCGCACGACTTCTACTTCTGGCTCGAGATAGCGCTACCGACATTTTTTTCTCTCCTTGGGTTCCGGGTCCGTTGGAGGCGTTGCTTTTGAAAAAGGGCAGCGTGCGTCGGGGGCGGAGGCAAAGGCCAAGCTGGGGTGATGGTATCGCTGTCTGACCGGATGTCGATGATCGAGGTTGCTATGTGCTGGCGTTTCTGCGGGACAGCCGCAACCGCCCTGTGGCCTTGTATCCGGGATCCAATTCGAATATGCCACGTGAGCGGTGCCAGAATCTATCCAGAGACGCGCTCTCGTGCTCTGCCTACGCAATCTTGGACGGGCAGTCCGGAAGGCTGTGTCGTCCAAGCCCAGGCCTTTTTTTTCGTCCCAAGTCTCCAGAATTGGTCCGACGCGGGTAAGCGAGGAAGAGAGTCTGGAACGGCAGCAGTAGTCAACGGAACCTGCAGCAAGCACTTTGATGCAGGGCACACCGAGGAGCGTAGAGCGAGGGAGAGTTTGGGGAAGAGTCAATCTGCGAAAGATGACGGCGGCGGACGTGTCGCGCCGCGCCGCGCACTGCGCACTGTTACGTTTGCGTGAGGTTGGGCGTCGGCTTCAAAGCTTTGCTGTAGGCTGGGGTGCCCAAGTCATTGGACTCGCTTACCCAGCCCCTTCTCTGCGAACAGGCGATTGCGCAAGAGGGAGAGTTGTCGTGGAGCTTTGCAAAAACACGCGGAGAGACAGGCAGAGAATTGGCGTGTGCGACATTTGCCGGCGTGTGTTTGCGTGTGTGTGCGGGTGTGCGGGTGTGCGTGGATGTGCTCTTGGGGTCAAAGTGAGGCGGGTCTCCAGCACATAGCCCTCGACCGCAACTTCTCCAGCACGCACTACCAATCGCAAGCCCGCTTCCCCTCTGGGACTGGGGCGGCACAGCGGCCTGGGCGCGAGGGAGCACGCATTGGGCGCAGGTATCGCCAGCCGGTCAAGGCCCAATTTTCCAGCCTGTTGTGCATGAGACCAATGCCAGGCGTGTGTCTTAGTCCTGGTCTTGGGTGCAGAAAGGCATACAGTCTGCTCGGGCGGTGAGCGAGCGGTAAGGACGTGGATCTAAGGGCCCGCCCAGTCCGCCACACTAGGTCCATGGCGACTGCACTCACGCCTGCATCCACCAGGCCAGACCAGACGAGACAAGACAAGACCAGACGGTGTGCGCCCACGCGCCCACAAACACGCCAGATACACATGTATATAAAGCATATCAACTGTTTTTTCCAATTTCGAGAGCTTTTATATATAGCAGCAGTCCACAGTTTCTTGCAGTCCATGTGCTGTCGCGCCCGCCCGGCTGCAACAGTGCCAGATGTTCGCCAACGCTTCTCCGGTCCGCCCATGCCTGCGCCAAGCAGCCGTCCAGCCCATCGGCCAGACCCCTAAGCGCCCATCGCAACAAGTACACTCTGCGCCCAATATCGTACAGAATTCCTTCCTAGACACCCACATCTCAAGAACTCCGTGCGACAAGCCCAACATCCCTAGAGTGTAAAACCCACACCACGAGCGGCAGAACAGATCCATCTAGGACGTACCCTGTGACAAAACGACAATGAGCTGAGAATACAATAGATATAGTCCAAATAGTGAAGACAACATGCCCCAAGAGAATCGTAAACATCGTGTGCTGAGACAAGGCCCCGCCAGGCCCACGGGCTTAGTAGCCCCCAAAAAGATCGTCGAGCTCGTCCACGTCAATGAGCTCCGGGCTCCGCATGACCCAGTCGTCGTCAAACTCGAGTTTTATCTCTTTGCGCTTGAGCGACGGCGGCGCCATGTCGATGTGGAGCGTGGGTTTTAGCCCTGGGCTGCTTGGCGAAAGCGCGCCGTGGAAGCTGACCACCTGGTCCATGGGGCCAAAGAGGGCTGCCGCCGCTTCCGAGTCCTTGCGGGCGGCGCTCTCTATTGTCTCCTCGACCGACACGGCCACTTCCTCCATCTTGACGTCGCTGCTTTGCCTGGGTTCGGCAGAGGCGCTGGCAGACCGCGCACGCTCCGCTTCTTGGCTCATTCGGCGTTGTTGAAGAAACGACGCCGTCTGCGTAAACTCACGCTCGTCCTTTTCCAATGGTGGCGACTGAGCGCGGCGGTTGTGTGAAATATTGGCACTCGTAGGCGGGTGAGTGTGGTTGGAAAAGGGGTCGCTTGCGTTGCTGTCGTAGTCGGAGAGATCTAGCTCTGGCGACGGCGACATGCGGTCTCGAGACCTTGCGTCCATGTCTTCTTCTTCCGACGTAGCAGACGAAAGCGACGGCGTAACGATACGCGGGGCCACGGGGACATTACCCCCATCGGCAGGGATAGGCTGGTGTGGGCGCGTCGACAAGAAGTAGTAGACACGCTTTGGATGCGTGCCTACCAGTTTCTTGTCGAGGGGACATCTCGACAGGGCGGTCCAATTGCGCTTGAGGTATGTCGCTAAGCGGGACGAGATGATGGCGGCTGGATTGGCCGAGCTAGTGCACGTCAGCATAAGTAATTATGAGCCAAGGTTGAAGCCCAAAGGGGGGGGGGATGGTGGGGGTGTACGTACCTCTCGACAATGGGGATGATGGGTGACAGAACCAACGCGAGCTCCTTGAGCAGGTGAGGACGATTGCCAGTCTTTTCGAGCTGCTCAATGACGCCGACAACAATCTCGTCGTCGATGCCTTGGGTGTCTATCTTTGCGTTGCCAGACTCGCCGCCTGGTGACGGTGGCGGGGTGTCTGCCACACGGCCTGAGCTTTTGGGTCGGTGCTCATCAATACGCAGCGCCGATGGCCGTGGTGGTGATGCAAGCGCCGATGAAAGCGAGCCCGAGTGTGAGCGTTTCTGTTTCTTCGCGACGTGCTGGCCGTCGCTTGTCGAAGGCGGTGAGCGTGTGGATCGGGGCGCTCCCGGTAGCTGGATGCCGAGTGACGGCAGCGACAGCGACTTGCGGCGAGTGTTGTAGGGCATTTTGTCGCAGCGACGCAGTCGCAACAGTGGCGCAGGTGGTGGTGGGGGGGAAAGAAGACAAAGTCAGCCTTCCAAGGGAGAATAGGTATATTATTAGGGCTGGGTAATGGGTGTGCAGCCAAAAAGTGCTTTGTTACGGCGAGAATGCTCAGGGATGTCGATTGGTCCGGTAGGGATGCACTGCAGCCTATGCCACCAAGGCTGCCGCCGAAAGATGCAAGGTAGGGTGCGACGCTTCTGTCTGCACTGCAGGGTTGGCGTCGAGAGGGCGCCCGATTGTTTTGGGGGGGGGAGATGCTTGTTGGTGGGCGTGGGCGTAGTGGCGATGGTGGTGGTGGTGGTGGTGAGGGACGGCGAGTGGCACCCGTCTCGTTGCAGCTACGCAGGCTGTTGCCTCCTGAAGGCAGCGAGTACGTAAGTGGGCGGCGACGACCTGGTTTGCCTCTCTCGACGCAGGCAGATGGTGCAAGCAACACAGCCAAGTGTTGCGGCAAGGGCACAGCAAAGTAAAGACAGCGAGGGAGAGAAGAGAGACGGCTAAAGGGGGACGGGGGAGTGGGCAATGGACAATGGTCCCTGATGGAGTTCGAGGGGGGTGGTGGGAAGAGGGGATGTGACGAGGGAAAGGTCGGAGGGCGTGGTGGAGCAGTGGGTGAAGAAGGAGCGACTAGGCTCCGGCAAGCGACCGTGCACAGTGGTAGGGTGAAGGCAAAGGTACCCAGGGATGCTCAGGCTGGGCTGGTTATGACAACATACTACTTTTAGAGCCCGTTTTTGCTTTGTTGGCCAGGGGGCTAGAGCGTTGCAGGCTGCCAGTGCTATCAAGATGCCGTGGCCGGCCGCTTGCACCACCCGGTACATTACATGGACGACTCCAAAAGCAAGTAGTCGCCGGGGCGGCCTCAGGGCGTGGCTTGACCGGCGGCCAGCTCCAACGTCTCGTACGGGCATGGCGGTGACAGCCAATCCCGTTATTTGGCGTTGATGAGTTGCCCCTCTTGTTGTGTGTCAAGCTTGGATCTCTTTGCATCTTGCGCCGGGCACGAGAGAAGTGGGCCGGGCTGGGTGACGCTTGGGGGAAAGCGTGCTAGCCGCTGGAGCGCCGGGGGCCGTGCGTGTGTGGCAGTCGTGGTCGTGGCCGCCTGCCCTGAGACGGCTTTTCCGCCAGCAGCAGCGGCAGCGGCAGCAGCAGCGTGAGTGTGCGTGTGAGTGTGCGTGTGAGTGTGCGCGAGTGTGAGTGTCAACCGCCTGCACGGCGGCGGGTCGTCACAGTTGTCCCGCCAGCTGACCGCCTCGAGCGATGCGCCTCTCTGGGCAGCCCAACGGCCACGCCACGACTGGTTGGACGCTTTGCCATGATCTGATGCTGCGCGCATATCATCTGGGAGCAGCAGCGCGCGCATCCCTGTCCACAGGTTTCGTCTAGCTGCAAAAGCGGGCCTAGCTCTGCCCACAGTGCAGGGGGGGGCCAGGGCGGTGAGCACACTTTTTCTCGAATTTTTCTTTGACGGAACTTTTGCCTGGCGCGCTGCGGCCAGTCCTCGGCAACCACGACCCCACCACTCGCCGCCCTGCCCGCGCAGCCAGCGGCCAGCTGCCAGGCACGCCCCGCCCTCGCTGCTCGACATGGCGCGCCCTCGCTGCTCGCCGCCCGCCGCTCGTACGAGCCCCGCCGCTGCCCGGGGGCCCGGCGTAGGGCTGGTGGGCGGCCAAAAGCCCGCCCGGCATCGCGAGGCACTGCGCACGCGAGTTGCCATGCCGCCCGATGATGCGACATGGGCTGTGCAGCCGTCCTTGGCCGCATGCGGCTAGCCGGCTGCAGCCAGGCCCCGTCTGCATGTGCAGCAACAGCGTCACCTTTTGTGGGGAACTGGAAGGTCTGGCGCCGTCGCTGGCCTGGGGGCAAACAGTTTCGCGGATGCGCTACCTAGCTTCCCCAGACGAAGTGTGGCCTGGATGAGGAAGTTGGCAGCCTGTGAAAGACGGTGAAGACGCATGTTTGTTTGCTTCTTCCCACACGCCCGTCCAGCATGCCAGATAAACTGTCGTCTGCCCGCCACCCACGCCCGCGCCCGGCACCACGCTGACGACACGACGCCTGCCCGCCTGTCCTCGCTCGACGACACTGACATGTCACATCCCAATCCTCATCCCCCCGTGGGCCACGCACACGCGAAACCCCACGTCGTGGCCTGGTGATAAGGCACTGCCAAAGTTTGGGCGAGCCGCCACGCGCTCGGAGAGTAGTGACGCGATCCTGTGTGCATTGCCCATGATCCCGACCGCAGATCTCGCTTCACCTTCTGTTGGGTACCCCCTCCCACCCCCCTCCTCCCCAGAAGTAACAATGGTCGTCGTGTCGGCATCACCACATCGGGTCGTGCCCCCCCCCCTCCATCCGAGCAACGTCCAAACTCTACGTCACTCCCAGCACGACATGGCTGTCTTGCAGGCTCGCACGCTCGCTGCCATGGCTCCGAGCCCCTTGCACAACCCAATCTTAGCATGCCCGGTGCACATGTCTGTATCTCATAATAGTGCATGCCCCCACACCCAATAATGCGGGGTGGGGACGTGAGACCGATGCTGAGACGATGAGTTTTTCAACTCCACCACCACCACCATGGCTTCTGCCCAATTGCGGACCCGGCTTGCGCGGCGAGCGGTTGCCCGCCTGCAAGCGTCTCGGTCCGCTGCTGCCGTATGCCCTTTCTCGGCTTCAGCTGGAGCCACCACGTTGTGCCCAAGTTGTAGCGCTTCATCTCGACAACCTCCAGCCCGCTTTCTTCGACAATCTTGCCAATGTCTTTGTTCCACCAGCAGCCGTGCTCGTTCGCATGTGCGGGCGCCGTCTTGTCCAGAATCTTGTCCAGCCACTCGTAGTGCGACTTTCCATGCTCCAAAAGCAGTATCTGTCCGTCTTCGTTGGTGCACGCCTCTAGGTTCTGCAGTAGCTTCACTGGCTCTGGCGTCGAGCATAGCCCCATAGTCTGCAGCACCGTGTCGTATCCGTCCTGTGCACCGTAGGGAGGCGTGATTGGGTCTATGGCCGATTGTTGCTTGAAGAAGACGCGGCTAAAGTATTCCTTGTGTGTGTCATTCCATTTTCGCCTTGCAACTTCGAGCATCGGCCCGCTCGCGTCGAGCAGCGTCACCGTGGCGCATTGCTTCGTCTTGTAGTAGGCTATGTTCCTTCCTGTGCCCACTGCTACCTCCAGCACGTGTCCCCTTGCCCTGGCCGTGAGCTTCTTGCGCTTTCCAGTCAGAAAGAGCAGCGTCTCCGATGTATCTACTTTCTCGTCGTAGCCCTCGGCCTCCTTGTCAAACCGATCAGAGAGATCCGCTGGCAAATCCTTCAGGTCCGCATCATGAGTCAGCGACGTCCAGAGCATAGCTGCATATGTGCCCATGCCAAACGCAATCATGCCAATGCCAAACATGGGCCATTGTCTCCATCTTCGCAGCTTAGCCTGGTGGTGTGCCGACTTCAACTCCTCGTCCGATAACCGCTGCAGATCCGACAACCGTGGACGTGCCGCCCACACTCTCTTCGCTGCTTGCTCGGGCGTCTGGTTCTCGGGTACTCGTAGCAGATGCTCAGCAGTCGGCTGCGCTCGGGGCATGCGCCTAAGCAGTGGTGTTGCGGGCTTCGTCGGTATCGTAGATTTTACAGGAAACGATTTGGGGGGCTTGGGTAGCTTTGCCATGGCGTGCGATCGTGTGCCGGGGCAGTGTGCAAGGACGGTCGTTGATATTCAATCGGTGGAGCTAGCAGAGTTTGGCCTGGAGGCTCAAATCTTTCCATGCGCGATCCAGGCGGTCGGTACCAGCGTCCAAGCTCCCCAAGTCCAAGCCACGAGCCTGTGACCCGTGCAAAGCCGACTCCTGCCATGCAACGATATCGGCCCACGAGCGGCACTTGCTCGGTACCTTGACAATTATGATTGTACGCGACCGGTCTTTTTTGCTTGTTTTGTTTCTCACTTTGCTTCTTCATCTCTCATTTTGCTTCTTCCTCATGAGCGCTTTTGTTCAAGTCTGCTAACAATGTCTCCCTCTGCTAGTTCGGAGGTTCCTTCTTCCATTCTGATTGTCGGAAGCGGTGCATTTGGCCTTTCTACGGCATATTCCCTATGTCAAAACCCACGGTTCAAAAACACGTCAATCACTGTCGTGGACCGGCAACCCTTCCCTACGCCTGATGGCTCGAGTGTAAGTAGAGCGCCTCAGTCTAGCCCTCACAGCCGCTACGAAGCAAATTCTCTCGGTGCATGGATACGACTGCACGTACAAAGACCGCAAGCTTAAACAACAGCAAACAGATTGATACCTCGCGCATTATTCGCCCCGACTATGCTGCCGCACGCTACACCCGCCTCGCTACCATTGCGCAAAACCGCTGGCGGACCGACTTTGCGACCGAACACTACCACGAGGTCGGACTGTGCGTGACGGCCTGGGGCCCTGAACAAAAGTACGTGACTTCGTCGCTGGAAAATGTTCGTGCGATTGGAACGGACAAGGTCGAGATCCTTAATTCGCCAGAGGATATCCAGAGGGTGTGCGGCCTTGAGGGCAAGGACCCGTGGGGCAATGGCAGTACCGGATACATCAACTGGAGCTCTGGCTGGGCGGATGCCGAGGGCGCCATGATATGGCTGCGGGAAAAAGTCGAAAGTCTGAACCGAGTCAAGTTCGTTACTAAGCAGGTGAAGAAGCTGTTGATCGACCACAAGACCAACACCGTGTCGGGCGTTCGTCTGAGCGACTCAAGCGAGCTGAAGGCGGACCTGACAGTGCTGGCAGCAGGCGCATGGACTGCGGCGCTCATAGACCTACGGGGCATCTGCAAAGCTACTGGACAGGCCATATGCTACATGCCGATTTCGGAGGAGGAACAAGCCAAGCTGGGTGACTGCCCGACCATCTTGAACCTCTCGCATGGTCTTTTCATGATTCCGCCCTCAAAGAAGCTGCTCAAGGTGGCGCGCCACGGTCATGGCTACCTCAACCCCACGACCATTCCACATCCCGAATCGGACGACCCCAGCGAGACGATTACAGTTTCGTTGCCTTACACAGGTGTCGACGACCCGACGCAGGTTGTTCCAGCAGAGGGACAGCGTCAATGCCGAGACTTTCTCAAAGCGATCCATCCCACCATTGCTTCACCCTCGCGCCCGTTTACCAAATCAAAGATTTGCTGGTACACGGATACCAGGAACGGCGATTTTTTGATTTCTTACCATCCAAAGTACAGCGGCCTGTTTGTAGCCAGCGGTGGCTCTGGCCATGGCTTCAAGTTTTTGCCCATTATTGGTGATTGCATTGTAGAGTGTATCCAGGGCCAAACCCCAGAGGACTTCAAGGGTCGCTGGGATTGGCCCGCTGAACGTGTTCCTGAGGACCAGTGGCCAGGTGACGGCAGCCGAGGTGGGCCTGTCGGACAGGTACTGCAGCAAGAGATGGAGAAGAGCGAGGCCAAGTTATAGATATAGACATCTCCCTTGTAGAGTTCAACCCCGTTTTGAGAAAGGTTGGGTGCGGGTTTTCTGTATATAAAGCATCAAGCTCACCCAGTCATGCTTCCTTTAGTGAGATTCAATAGCCATGTAAATAGTATCAATGACACTGATTAGATTTCTGCAGTTACTCCACTGAATCGCAAGTCTCACTTACCTCGGTTTCCTGTGCAAACGTTCAATCACGTGGCATCAATCAGATACAGCTGCTGTATGCCTTTTGTCTCCAATTCTATTCCCAACCACGTTCAAACAATCGCAAGGCAATTTCCCACTAGCATTGTGCTGTAGCCGCATGCCGTGCCTTCTGGCTGCATACATCCCTTCGTGAACGCCTTTGGATCGACGAATCACCCGCCGCCAAATACGCCATGTACGTAGCTCATGCGAACCACAAGCCCTCCATTACAGACGCCCGACATGTTTGGATCGTACCAAATCGAGCTCTGTTGCCTCGATAGGATAAATGCAACGTGCACAGGTACATCTCATCCGTAAGCACAACATGCAATCCCGGAGCATACTGGCTGACCCCGCGTTTCCAATCAAAGCTAATGCTGTGCGACGCCAGCATATCTTTACCAATGCGTATTTAAATCTGCTCCATAGCCTTGCTGAAATCCATCCGAACACTCTCACCTGGTGATTTTTTTTCTGGCCTGGCCAACCGAAGATTCGACATTGTACGGGAAAATAAAAGTACATACCTCTTGCTTGCTTACACGAAGACACCAACACTGCCTCTACCGCATCTGGTAGCTTCACACAGCGCCATGCCTGATCTAGCCCTGGATACAGATGCTACTGTTGTTGTGACGGGGGTCAACGGGCTGGTAGGGAGCCATGTGGCCGACCAGCTGCTAAAGAGAGGGTACAATGTCCGCGGCGTGGTGAGAGACGCTGAGAAGCACAAGTACCTGGTTGAGTACTTTGGTGAGAAGCACAGATACGCAAAGTTCGAGCTCGTTGGTGTGCCGGATATGACGGTTGAGGGATGCTATGATGATGTTGTCAAAGGTACGTCGCTCTCTACGATGCTGCTGAGCAGCAGAACTAAATTGGCCTCGCGTATCAGATATTGGCGGGTTCGTCCAGGTCGCGTCGCCTATGGGCACCATCCTCGACGTTGACGAGGCTATTTCGGTTGCTGCAAATGGAGCCATAAATGCCCTCAAAGCTTGCGCAAAAAGCCCTTCGTGCAAACGCTTCATCTTCACTTCTTCGTCCGTTGCGGCAACTTTTCCCCATCCCGATGTAGAGATGTCAATCGACGAGAATGCGTACAACGACGAAGCACTGCAGACTCTGAGGAAAGATCCAAACACACCGGGGCTGTATAGCTACGCCGCCATGAAGGTGGAGACTGAAAAGGCGATGCGCGAGTGGATGCAAGAGAACAAACCAGACTTTGTCTTGGTTTTTGTTGTAAGCAAGACATCCAAAGAGTTTGACCCCAACAGCACTGATTGTCAAAGCTCCCCAACATGAACCTCGGTGCCGTTCTCATTCCTGAGCATCAGGGATACCCCTCAACCATCAATTTGGCCCGCCAGGCATGGTTGGGCCAGCACCTCGAAATGTTCGCCACATTTGCCGGTCCACAATGGTATGTCCATCCTGTCGACTGTGCATTGGTGCATGTTTCTGCACTGATTTATAAGGATGTGGGTTCCGAACGCCTATTTGCATTTGCAGAGCCTTGGGACTACAACAAGATGCTGGACATCTGGCGAAAGTTGTATCCTGAAAGGAAGTTTCCGGACCCTATCGAGGGATTGGGTGTAGACAAGATGGAGATTCCAAACAAAAGAGCAGAGGAATTGCTGACGTGGGTCAAGGGGGCGGGATGGGATAGCCTCGAGAAGGGATTAAAAGAAATGACTGAAAGCTGGGTTTGAGAGACGATTGCGATAGAATGATAGAGGCCAAGTTTTTGCCATGTTACCAAGGGTCGTCTAATCCAAGTTAGTAACGATCAGCCGGTATTGTGTGTTTTGCTTTGTGTTTAATCCGATCGTATAGAGGCGTTCGTTTCATCCAGTTAAAGTGGGTAGCGAACCGCGGCCGCGGTCACCTGGGCTCGAGATTGAAGCCATCTCCACATAGGCAGAACCTGAATTGCAAGGCCCTTCTGTCCGGCATGAATACTACTGAATTTGTGGGGTACACAAGAACTTTGAGGCTGGGGAAACAAGCAGCCAAGTACCTAGATGATTCGTGGAGAAAATACCACCGAGTGCGAACTCGGGCGATATGGACTTGGCGGCGCACCTGATATCTTGGGGTACGATCGGTCAAGCTGCGCCAAGTATCTTGCAACACCAATACAGCCTCGCTATTCACGGAAACAATTTGAATCCATGTTCTTCCGCTGGCTTGGAAAGCTGTGGCGCCGGGTAGTCCATAGGGCAGCCTCGCTTGGACCAACTACATAGTATACCAGAAAGGGTTCTAGTTAAAATCGAATGCGGAATCGCGTGTAGGACGTATGCGTGACGAGCATTTTGAAGATACTGTTTGCTGGGCGTGCGGGCGTGATGAAAGGTATATAATCGGCGCGATTGCACGAGCAGTGCAGCATCTTTTGCACTACTGCAACTTGGACTGAGCCATAGCAGTCCTCTCAAGAGTTCAACTGGTATCCCACTTCAACTGCAACCACTAAAATGAAGCTTTCCGCTTCTGTCATTATTCCTCTTCTGCCTGTGATTGCTACAGCAGCAGTCATCCGCCGTCAGAATGGCGATGGACCCCAAGGCAGTACCGACTCGACGCAAGGTGATCTCGGGGTGCGTCCTCCTCCAAGATTCCCGTTTCCGGTCACAAAGTTTCCTGTTCCAACTGAGACTGTCGTGCTCGAGGAGGCTATGTATATCCTACCTGGCCAGGTGTTTGATGGAAAGATGAAGCGATATGAGCGTCCAGAGGGCAGCTGCAGCGAGCAGGCCGAAGGAACCGACGCAGATGCCGTGTTCAATTTGCTTCCTGGGGCTACCATCAGGAACGTAGTGATTGGAAAACACCAGAGTGAGGGTATACATGCTCTCGGTGACGCATGGGTTGAGAATGGTAAGACCAGCTCATGACGCTGAGCGTAATGAAGCTAACTTCTCTCCAAGTGTGGTGGGAAGATGTCTGCGAAGACGCCTTGACGTCCAAGGGCCTCAACACGCAGCTGCGCGTCATTGGTGGAGGTGCACGCAATGCAACCGACAAGATCTTCCAGGACAACTCGCTAGGAGGAAAGGTAAACATCACTGGTTTCTTCGCCGAAAACTTTGGTACCTTTTACCAATCCTGCGGAAACTGTCTGAACCAGGCGAAGCGCAATGTCACCATCCAGGACGTCATTGCTGTGAACGGAACAAGAATGGGCATAGTAGGTGAATGAGTCCTTCTCTTCGACATTTTTACTAATGTTTCCACAGATATCTCCAAACTACGGTGACGAATACCGTATCAAGGACTCGCAGGTTGCTGACGTTGAGCGCTACGTCGACAAGGAGATTGGAAACAATGTCCAGACGGTTCCGTACACTGTTGGAACTGGGCCTGATGAAAAATACGCGTTGTATAATCTGACGCGCGACCACATCACCGAGTTTGAGGGAGAGATCCTGAACCAGTATGTTCCCGAGGAGCCGTATGAGTGGCTCGGTGACTTTTGGAAGGAGGGAACGGGGGCCTGAGCGTTTATGATTGACGTGTGAACTAAATAATAATCATGTCTTGAAGATTCCTGTCTTGCTTTATTGATCCATGGCTTGGGAAATGTCTTGTCAGCCTGGAGGGCTTGATTGTGCAATGGGTGTTTCGAGATCTAAGAGCCGAATGCTGACCTCTTTTCGTATTTAGGTCACCAGTACCTTTGATCCATAGTATAAACGAATCCAGTGAGTTTGGTGTGTTCATCCTGTTCTTGACATGGTCGCAAGATTGAAAGAACAGGAATTTGGATGCTGAGTCCGAGTGTTTCGTAGATAATAACAAGAGATGCTGTCGTCCCTCATGTGTCGAGGGGGAAGGAGCAAGAGGTGCCATGGAGTGATGCTGGGTGGTCCGAGCGCGCCTACCACCCCTGCAGCTCTAGCCTTCGCTTAGATTTTGCCTGCCCACGATCACTCCGAGTGCCTCATCGACAGCGACAACTCCATCCCGACGCCCAATCCAGCTCTTCCGCCCACCGAACGACCGACACCCGTCGAAATCTACAACCGCACATAATGGATTCCGCAAAGGCTCCCGTCAAGCTCGTCAAGGTCACCCGTGTCCTTGGCCGAACCGGTACGCGAACTTTCCCGAAATTTGCTGCAGCCGACGCGTTGGAAGAATAGCATGGCCAGAGTGAGAGAATTTCCAGGCTGACAATGGTCCCTACAGGCTCCCGTGGTGGTGTCACCCAGTGCCGTGTCGAGTTCATGGACGACCAGACCCGCTCCATCATCCGTAACGTCAAGGGCCCAGGTACGCTCACCTGCCTGCTTGCCGCCGCTGTGGTAGTAGCTGACCCATGACCTTAGTCCGCGAGAACGACATTCTCTGCCTGCTCGAGTCCGAACGTGAGGCTAGGCGCCTGCGATAAGCGCAATCACTATCGGGGAAAGGGAAGCGGCATTTCATTCGGTTACCGGAGTTCTTTGCGAAAGCTATGGGCATCTGTACGGACTTTTCGGGGATGGAAAATATGATGGCGTAGTGTTCTTGCAGCGCTGCGGAGAATGTGGCAGATACATGGGAGACGCGATCACGACTGATGTCAAAAAGTCTGGGCTCTCCGTGAATGAATCGAAGACTACCAACTCCCAAATGTCCCTGGGCTGGCCGTGACGCTTCGTGGCTGTTATCTGGGTTCAGTACGAGACTCTGAGGCGTATTTGGAAGCTAATGTCGCCCAGGTGATGTCCTTTTCTCTTTCCGGCTGGTTGTATGACCTGGCTAGCAGATAGATTTGTCCGCACAACATACCCTTTCCGCTTTCCCATCAGCATGGCAAATGCTTGGCAAGTCTGTATTCCATACTCGGTTCGATCTCACTGTCGCGAGTTCTGTGACGCGCCTAGCGGTAGCGACCCACGCACTAGCACGATGCCTCCTTTACCCCGAAAGCTTGTTATGCCGCTGCTAATCGAGATTCTATCAGCCTCGTACTCTGATCTTGCTGCTGCTGCTCGCTCCGTCTTATTAACTTTTGACTAATTCGACGCCCACATTACCATGACAAATATAGCGCCGGGGCAGCGTAGGGAAGTTTGGCAACAAGCAGATTTGTGCAGGGCCACTGTGCATTGGAATACTGTTTGGACCGGCAAACGGACAATCAACTTGGGAGCTCAATCTGCAAACAAATCTCAAACATGCCGTCACCACCAGTTGGTTTCACCTCCAACATATGACAGCGCACACGACCAACGACGCACTTTACTGGCAAGGTCACTCTCAACCTCAGACTTCAATAGCAAACCCAATCATTTTACAGTCTTCGGCCTTGTACTCTTTTTAGCTGTCTCATACAACCCTTTAGGATAACCTACATCAGTCAACGTCAACATCTCACAACACGCAAACTGGCGAATCTACACCAGCCATCTCCTTTCGCAGGCGCTCCCCTCTGGGAGCCCTCAGAGGAAGAATGGGCCGACCTAGACGCCTCTCGTGTCACGTGCACCTTTATCGCGTCCTTCAAAGACCCCGCGCAGTACAGTAACATTAGCCCACCGAAAAGGCGCAGTACCTTCTCCCGTTTCACAGACACAATAACATGCCTGCTACCGTCATCGCCGACCAAAAGAGCCAGGGAAGAAGCGCTAAGAGAAGAGGAGCTGCTGCGCGATAAGCTTGCCATGCTGCAGAATACCTACCACACGTGTCCCTCTGGCGACATATGCGACGAAGTCATGAGCGCGTGCTTTGTCAATGGCTCACGAATCTTCCGCAACAGCAGTGTCCCCTCGCCCAGGAACATGCACGTCATCGACCTTGCTGGCTACTTCAACACCCAAGACCCCGTGTTGCGTGCGGCGAATCCACGCCTCTGCGACGCTGTAGCCACGATACTGAGCCACACGAGCAGCGAGTGCGTAGCCGCGTTTCTGGATCCGGGCGTCCGGGAATTCGTCTACAAGCGAGAAGTTGAGGGCCGAAAGGGCGGAAACGTGTTGACCGTGAGGAGGCTAGATAACAAGATCATCGTAAGTGCTTGGTATATGGTTGCTTCTTTGCCTGGGATGGTGAAAATCCATCTTGACCGCTCCCACCCGGTGTGACGCACGAGTATTATCATCCAAGATATATGAAGGAGACTAATTTGTTGTCATGGTTTCAGGCTGGTTCCTATCGCAATCTGGGCTTCTCCCTGCAGTGGAGCTTGTACGTCAAGGCCGGGTTTGGCGCAACGGGCCAGTGGCACGACGACTATGCTGCACCTGTGGCTGGGTCGACGCCCATCGTCGATGGAGTCGTGATGTGGGACGTCTTCACGCCAACTAGGGCCACATCACCTGAGGGTGACGGCCAAGCTGGTGGCTGGCCCCACCGCGGCGAGCATCGAAGCAGCAGCAGCAGCAGCAGTGTGCAGGCGCCCCAGACGTCACCGCGCAAGATTACGCTGTCGGATGCAAATGAGGGGGACAAGGTGCAATGTCAGGATGACGAAATTAGTCCACGCAATGCAAAGTTTGCGCTGTACCAGAGTAGGCTGCTTGCGCGTTACCTGCTGTGGGATATCTGGGTTCGACTCGAGGGTAGGTATGATTGCAAGGCGTCGTGGGAAGCGGATGGAGAAGTTAGGGAGTTGAGGTTGAAGCAGGCATTGGTGGGGTTTGGCGATGAGGAGTAGGCACGATGGCATGTCACGTGAAGCAGCAACCACAACAGGCAAGCAAAATGGTTCTAGAATAGAGACTTTTGGAATTCGTAAAGAACTATCCAATCTAAATAACAAGAGTCTTTGGACATTCTCGTATGGTTTAAAGAGAAGAGAAGTCGTGAATCTATAATGCAAGCGATACGCTATGCAGGATATATCGGGCCCCAAAAAAACACACAAAACGCCGTAGAAATGCAACATAGGAAATTCTTGTGTCTCAATATTGCAGAGTTGGTCACTCTAAGCAATGGCAGAGACACCACCCTCCTGCATGACAGGGTTGATCTTCTCGTCAAACTTGAACTGGAACTCGTCGCCAAGCTCCTTCTTCATGGCAGTCTGAACAGCGTCGAGGACATTCTTAAAGACACCAAAAGAGGCTGGGTTGTTCTCGTCGTTGTCGCCACCCTGGAAGACACCAGTGCGGACCAAGCACGTGTTCCAGCCGTACATGTTACCACCAATGATGTCGGAGGCTGGGTTGTCACCAATCATGTAGATGTGAGCAGGCAGCTTCTCCTCGTTGTGGATCGTCTCCATCCAGCTGGCAATGACCTCGTCGGCGTACTTGTAGGTAGCCAATTCAGGCTTACCGTAGACAACACGCTCGAGCTCCACGCCAGTGAGCGACTTGTACATGGCCTCAAGGCCGATACGGAAGGCACCCTGGGACATGCGGGGGAAGGGGTGCTCGGTGGGGCAGAGCATGTCACCCTGGGAGAAGTAGATGGGGATGCGCTGGGAGACGGGGTCCTTGGCCCTGGTTCCGAAACGGCCGTTCTCGGACTGGAGAAGGTCCATGATGATTTGGATGTCGGTAGCGTAGTCACGGCTGTCGGAGAAGACCATGATGGCTTCGATGTTGGTCTTGCTGAAGTCGCGAGGGCGGGAGGTCTTGCGCTCCTCCTCGGTGAAGACACGGTAGGGAGCAATGGTAGGGTCCCAGGCAACAATGTCGTTGGGGACAACAATGTCCTGGAAACCGTACTGCTCAGCGACCTCACGGCACTTGTAGCCCTCACCACCAACAACGAGAACCGTCTTGTAGTACTCAGCCAGGGCACACATGGGGGTGTGCGACTGGATGAACTGCTCGGTGGAGATGGGGTTGTGGAGGATCTTGGACAGTTGTTCGACACGGGCCTGCTCAGGCTTACCAGAGCCGTTGGTAAGGAAGATGTGGGGGATCTTGATGCCGAGCTCGTTGTCTCCGTTCAAGATTTCGAGGACACGCTGACCCTCGGGGATGAGACGGTCACCGTGGACAAGGACACCGTCAATGTCAAAGACAAAGGCCATGTCCTTGGCGGCACGAACCTTCTCACCAGCCAGGTCCTGGAGCTGGGCGGCGATGATGTCGCGGGATGGCTGGATGGAGGGCATTCCAGGGCGCTTGGCAGCGCCTGGGCCATCGGGGTAGTGGACAGAGGACAGCCTTGACTGCCTCTTGGAACGGGGAATGGGCAGCGAGGTACCGAAAGAGTTGCGGGATCCTCTCCTCTCCTTCATCGAAGGCGAGAGGGAAAGGTTGTGCATGTAGTTGGTAGTGTCGGCCATGGCGCTGCGGGTTGCTGGAACCTCGACAGTGTTGGCGGTACCATCTTCGTGAACATCGCCGGGAATGGCAAGCTCAGCGCCAGAGCCTCCAACAGCAAAGTTGGAGGAAGATTGAGTGGTGTTGGACTTGGTCTGAGGAACGGGGGTCTCAGCCAACTCCTGGTCTTCAAAGGCCGCGGGAGGCATATTGGCAGATTGTGTGTGTGTGTGTGTGAGAGAGAGAGAGAGAGGTGAAAAGGAGGTATCAAGTGGAAACAGGCTTCACACGGCAGAAAGTGTATGTGAGTGTGTGAAGATGTGGAGAGGTGTGGTAGTGAGTGGATGGCATCAGGGTCCTGGGGGAGGGGCTATATATCATCGCCATGGCCGTCAACAGAGGACAGGTCGTGGGCGTGCTGGAGGGCGCAGGCCATCGTCATTCGCCAGTCTCTCCTACAGAGTCTGTCGCTATCCCGGGTTAGACCGGGACACCAAGCACAGGTTGGCACTCCAAAGGGTTCAACAAGTATCTCGGTACCCACAGTACGACATCATCGGGATACAACGACGACCGTGCAGGGCAGCGCTAGAGGACGAGTTTGCCAGGCCAGAGAATGAGAACCGGATAGCGTCACTGCCGGAGTATCGCCGAAAACTGGGGACTGATAGGGTTTCGCGAGACGTGAGTCGCCACAAGGCGTCGCGACATGGTTGTATAGGCCTTGCCGATGGGGGTGAAAGCTTAGCGCAGAGCCTCAGCGTCCCAGGTAGGCCGACGCAGAGCGCGGCCGGAAGAGGCAGCAGCGGCTCACCGCCGGTGGATAGCGACTGGCGTGCATGGGGAGCGAGCAGACTTGTGGGAATGATAGACGTAGCTGCGACGAGCGCAACGAGGATGCATAGTGATGGCAGCGCGAGGTGCAGCAGGCGGATTGCAGTGACGGAGGAGAGGTGGGGGCGCAACAGCTCAGGTAAGCGCGCGTCGCCGAATTAGGGCGGCGCCAGGCTAAACGAGTGGCTGAGGGACCGCAGAGCCGCACCCGGCGAGCGCGGTGCATGCCATGCCTCCCCTCGGTGCGTACGTAGGGGTGTTTGTCATGTACACTAGCAGGTCGCCATGTATGTACCATGTATGTACTATGTACCAGCAATTACACCGGCCCACCATGCCGACCAGACGCCTCTCTACACATTGTCCGCCCTCGCCCTCGCGGCCACTGCCACGGTCGGCAAAACTGCCCTCCCCTGGCGCCCCCCCGCCGGCGCAGTGGACCCTGGAGATCCACCGGCGACGTCATGGCTGCCAACAACTGCCCACGCCTCAGCTCCCATCCCATGTGCTTGTGAAACGGATGCATGGCACTATTGTCGAGTTTTTTTTCCGCACGGCACCGATGGCTGCGAAATGCCTCCGCGATCGGTCCCTGGCGCGCCGCTGCCTGAGCTGAGGTCGCGGCTCGGCGGGGATGCGGCGGTTCCTGGGCGCGCGAGAGGAGGCTGACGGGCGCCGTGCCATGATGACAGAGGGGGAGGGGGCGCGCGCAAGGGCACAGAAATTTCAGACCAACCAAGAGACGCTCGATATATGTAGCCTGGCAGTCCTGCGACGCGCTGCTGCACTCGGCCACAAGACCAATCCCTCAACCTCTCACACACCTCATCAATTGCATCACACCCAGGCACACAACCTTCCTCTTCTTCTTCTCTGCATTCCACACACCGCAACCATGGCTCCCCTTGCCAACCAGAAGACGTTCACGCTCTCCAACGGCGTCACCATCCCCGCCGTCGGCTTCGGCACCTTTGCCAGCGAGGGCGCGTCCGGCGAGACGTACGCGGCCGTCACGACGGCGCTCAAGACGGGCTACCGCCACCTCGACTGCGCGTGGTTCTACCAGAACGAGGAGGAGGTCGGCGACGCCGTGCGCGACTTCCTCAAGGAGAACCCCAGCGTCACCCGCAAGGACCTCTTCATCTGCACAAAAGTATGGAACCACCTCCACGAGCCCGACGAGGTCAAGTGGAGCTTCAACAGCAGCCTGGCCAAGCTGGGCATGGACTACATCGACCTCTTCCTCGTCCACTGGCCCGTTGCCGCCGAGAGCGACGCCAACCACATGCCCAAGCTGGGCCCCGACGGCAAGTACGTCGTCAAGAAGGACCTTACCGAGAACCCCGAGCCCACGTGGCGCGCCATGGAGGAACTCTACGAGTCGGGCAAGGCCAAGTCGATTGGCGTGTCCAACTGGACCATTGACGGCCTCAAGAAGCTGCTCGCCTTCGCCAAGGTCAAGCCCATGGTCAACCAAGTCGAGGTGCACCCCTTCCTCCCCAACGCGGACCTGATCAAGTTCTGCCAGGACCACGACATCTTGGTCGCCGCCTACTCGCCCCTCGGCTCCCAGAACCAGGTCCCCAGCACCGGCGAAAAGGTGCGCACAAACGCAAAGCTCAACGAGGTTGCCCAGCGCAGCGGCTACGACCTCGCCCAGGTCCTGCTTGCATGGGGCCTCCAGCGCGGCTACGTCGTCCTGCCCAAGAGCTCCACGCCCAAGCGCATCGAGAGCAACTGGCTCATCCCCGAGCTGAGCAAGGAAGACTTTGAGGCCGTCGACGACGTGGCCCGGGGCAGACACACGCGCTTTGTCAACATGAAGGACACGTTTGGCTACAACGTCTGGCCGGAAGAGACGGACAGTGGTGAGCTCAAGGCGTAGGGCAAGTGGGGCCACACGACATTACCACGACGATCATGATGACATGGCTTGTGTTTGTTTTAAGCGATACCTACGTACACTAGGAGGGGAAAAAAAATTAACGTCTATCCAAGACGAATATAGAATAGCTCCTAGAGAGCAGAATTCACTTTCACAACTGTAATTGCCTCATCTCCATGCTGCGATCATCGTGATGTGACGACGCCATGACATGACATTGCGGTGTGTACAGTGCCAGGCGCTTCCCCGCACGCCCGAACCACGGTGCCTGGTGCCAGTGCACTACCATGGGTCGCCCGTCGTCAGGGTCTGCCAAAATGCCTTCTGCAAGCTCTGCACACAAACGGTACGGGCAACGGCGTATGCTCTTTGCACATAACGGCCATGTACTTAGTTCAATTTTACTTTTGCCACACATGCTCACGTCGGTATCAGCCCATCCAGCAACTCCAAATTCTGCCTCTCCCTGCGCACGCTCCACGGCTCCGATGCTTGCTGCTCCAAGGCCGCGGGTTTGGGTAGCACAATGTCGGCAAAGTGCTTCTTGGTGAATTCCATGACTGCTTGGGCCTCCGCAAACTTTTCTTGCTCTAGAAGCTGTCTTGCCACTCCCAAGCACAGCTGGACCAGGAAATGCCGCCGGCTTCGCGACGACTGTGCAAAGGTAGCGGCGCCAGCCGGGTCCTGAATAAACCAAAGTCCTGGAATGGGACTGCTCGCTGAAGGGTCGTGTAGTGATAGCATCGCTTCGACTGCTCGACTCCAGCTGCCGAGCCATCGTTGCGATGAAGACGAAAAGGATTGGTATAGCTCGGCGTCGATGGACCGGTCCTGGCTCGAGATGATGCGGTTGACAAGACGACCGCCAGCAGTCCTCAACATGCCGTACGCCGACTCATGGCCGGCATTTTCTGTAAAGCGGAAGGCTTGCATGAAGACAGCAAGGCCCCTGTTCAAGCCTGCGTTTGCTTCAATCGAAACCATCTTTTCTAAAAGCTGCTGCCTGAACTTGGTCACCCTTGAAGCGTCCAGGCCCGTTTCTTTCACTCGCTGCTCGTTTGATCGCAGGAACCAGCGCCATGGTGCGGTGCTCTCGCCCTCGGCCAACTGCAAAGCCACCAGTCGGTCCAGGAATCTGCTGCCATTGCCTGATTTTGACATGCACATGTCCAGGAACTGCTTCGAGGTGTCCAGGCCGCTAGTCCTCAGCCACTCCGAAAGCACATTTGCCGGCGTGACTCCATCTTTGAGTTGTGTCTTGCTTTGGCCCGTCGTCTTCTCGAGTACCTCGAGACATATAGCCGCCTTCTGCAGGTCGGCGGAGCCTAACGCTATCTCGTTGACGAACCATGCAACCGGGTCTCTCAGCACATCGACTGCCGCCGACTCTGACCCTCTCCGGCGGGGCTTCACTGCAAACAGTGGGTTGTTCAGGATGGAGTCGAGATGCTGCGTGGTCGAGGCATACGACGACGCTATCGCACGGCTCGGCGAGGGGTTGCGTTGCCCGCTGCCAATCAGCAGCTGGCGCGAAGGGCCCCTCTGGCTGGTCTCGGGGGTGTTCACGGGGTGTTCACGGTCGAGGTGGGCGCGGAACGACTGGGTCAGCAACGACAGTAGCTGCTGGCTCTCTCTGGGCGAGAGCGGGAGCTGCGGGTGGAGCTTGGAGGCGAGGGTGCTCAGGACGCGTTTTCCGGCGGCGGACTGCATGGCGGCGCAGTCAGGCGTCGACGAGTCGAGCAGGTGGTCGAGTGAGGCGATGACGAGCGGCGGGCCAAGCAGCCATGGGCGGCGGGAGCAGGGCGCCTCTGGAGCGCACGTGACGGCCTAGACGCGCGCTCAGCACGGCAGGCTGGAGCAATACGCCCAAACTATTCGTAGATCAATCGCCTCTCAGCACTCCCCTCACCTCTGCATACCACACAGCCCTCTCAAGCCCCCAGCCCACGCGACCCTGCCGCGTCCTGCGCCATTGGAGCCTCTAGTGCCAAGCCGACGTGGTCGCTTGCCGTCTAGCTTTCCCCAACTTTACCTCCCTCTACATCATCACCACGCACGTCCACCAAACCCGCCCACATTCACACACACCTAAGTCCCTCGCGGCTTACCCACACACCACACAGATTCCATGTCTGAAGCACCATCTCGGCCTGCACGAGGCAGGACCTCTGCCCGCGGCGGCAGGGGATCATACGGCACTCGAGGCCCAAGGAAAACAAACGGCGACAGCGCATCCTCGACCATTGACACATCGGCAGACCAAGGCGAGCTTGGAGAGCTGAAGAAGCGCTACAACTCACAGCTACCCACACTGAAGGAACTGTTTCCTGAATGGACCGATGCCGATCTCGTGCTCGCAATCGAAGAATCTGATGGAGACCTGCAAACCACCATCGAGAAGATCAGTGAGGGTGAGAACACCCTGCCCTGCGCCACCCTGCCCTGCGCTCGCGGGTGGCAGCACGTGCATCACGGAACAGCAGCGTGCTAACAGCGTACAGGCGCCGTCTCTCAATTCTCAGAAGTCCCGAAGAAGGTCAAGGACAGGTCCCGCTCCAAGGCAAAGGAGAACATCCTCCCGGCCGATGGTACCTCCAGTCTGCGTGGTCGCCCTGACGGGGCCCGCCGTGGTGTCGATAGCGCTCGCGGAGGCCGTGGTGGAAGAGGCACCGATCGTGGCCGTGGTGGCATTCGAGGCGGCCGAGGAGGGGCTGCCGCTGGACCTCGTACGGCTGCTGGATCAGTCCCGACGAACGAGTCCTCTGCATGGGACACAAACGCCGTTGCAGAAGAGTCCAACGACACCAAGCACGACGAGACGACTGCGCACGCGCCCGAAGCGACTCCAGAGGTCATCAAGCCTGTCGTCGAGGCCGCAAAGAAGACTTGGGCCAGCATGTTCGCGGCGCCCAAGCCCGCGCCTGCAGTGCCCAAACCGGCCCCGAAGCCTGCCCCCGCTGTCGCACCCGAAGTGCCTGCGCAAGTACCCGACGGACCGCCGACGAATGATGTTCCTGAAGAGCCAGCTGTGCCGGCCGATGAAGAACCCATACCCCCTCCCGCTGCAGACACGGTCATCGAAACGCCGCCACCCACCACGAACGACACGCCCAAGAAGACGCCAGACAAACCCATCGAGGTGGCTACGCCCGATATCAATTTGACCCCATCTGGAGACCAATTGACACAAGAGAACGTCGAGCATCTTCCCGACGAATCGCACCCGCCACCTACAGAGACGGCTTTCAGCACTGTTGCAAGCTCAAAGGACATTGGAAGTGCTGTTGCGACCCCATTGAATGGGCCGACGCAAGCACCTATCGGCCGCCCCGCCATTGGAGGATTCCAGACGACCGCAATGAAGGCGACTTCAGGAACCCCGCACCGCAGTGCAAGCTACCAGAGGAAGTTGGTGGAGCAACAGGAGGCAGTAGTCATGCCTGGAAACCACGCCGTAGACAGGGCCGCTGTCCAGTTTGGAAGCATGGGCTTGGGTGATGGACCAGATCCAGATGTCGATGAGGACAGAGAAGAGGCGGAGACTAGGACCCAACCACCACAGCACTCCCCTGTTGCTCAGCCCAGGGCTTCGCTTCCTCCCGCCCCACGCCAGGCACCCCCACAAGCGGAGGCGCAACAGCAGGAGGCCGCTCCTACACCGAAGCAGGCCCCAGGACTACCCCCTGCTCCCCAAAACCAGCCTGCTCTGCAGCAATCACCCTCGAACCCGCTCATGTCACAGGCGATGCAGAACCAAGGCTCCCAGTCAAACCAACCTTACAACCAGTTTGCTAGATATGGTCAGCCAGGCGCCCAAACAGAAGCCTCTGCCCCGCCCCAGAAGCCGTATGATCCATTCGGCCAACAAATCCCACAGTCGAACCACTCGCAGACCCCTGGATACGATTACGCTGGTCAGCAAAGCCAAGCACCGTCGCAGCCTGGTGCTTTCTCATCTGCCCCAGACAACTACCCTTCGTACCTCACAGCCGAACAACGTGCGCAGTACCAAAACTACTATGGCAGTTACGGTCAGCCGATTGCACAAACCCAGCAAGAAGCCGGCTCCGCGCAACAGCGCACCGGCAGTGCGTTTGGCTCTGGACCCAACGACTCAGCTTATGCTCAGAGTCAGATCCCACAGGTACGTAATCCTACTTGAGTCAAAGCTTTATAATGTATTTTGCCTATACTAACGAAGAAAATAGTCTCAGAGCCGATACGGCGACGCACAGAACAGTGGACATAACACTCCTAACCCAGCAGCTATGGCTAGCCAGGGCCACGGCGCACAAGGCCAGCACGCCCAGCATGGACATGGCGCGGGCTACCCTTACAACCACCCCTACTACGGCAGCCCATACTATGCCAACTACATGAACCAATTCGGAGGTTACGGTCAAGGAGCAGCCGGCTACGGATCGTTTGGAAAGGGCATATATGGTCAGCCCCACCACTACGGCATGTCACCCCAGGCCTCGTTTGACCAGCATTCGTCTTCCCCGGCCAACGCTGGAGGCTTCGGTGCATCCTCTCTGCATGACCGTGGGAGCGGCGTGGCTGGTGGCTTCAGCGACTATGGCCGTTCAGCTTCGGGCGCATCTCAGAACCCTAGTGCGACTGCTGGAGCAGCTGGATTTGGTGCCATCCCCGACACCTTTACTCGACCAGGAAACTTCCACCAGAGCTCTTATGGCCAACAGAGCGGACAAGGACTCGGTGACGATGCCCTGAAGCCGTCGAGTGACTACAAGAGCGGGGGACCAAGCCCTTCTGCTCTTGGAGCGCAGCCTGGCCGCCCAGGGTCGGCTAACCAGAGCACGCCTGGACAAGGTGGACCTCAGCACGCGCAGCAGGGCTACGGCGGCTACCCCAGCCACCTTGGCAACAGCGGATACGGTGGTCTCGGTGGCCTAGGACACCAGACATCTGCCAGCCACCAACAGAGCGGCTATGGCAACTACGGCGGATTTGGAGGATACGGCAACAGCTACAACCGCGGAGGTTGGGGCGGAAACTACGGACAGCACTAGACGCCGTCTCTCATATAATCATAATTGGGAGAAATGGGGGCGTGGCTGAAAAGGACGTGGTCAGGTCCTATGATGATGATGAATGGGTAGGGCAAGGGTACGATTTCTCTTTCTCCCCGTATCTTTTGAGTTGGCTGATGGCACGGAAAAGCATGTTTCTTTGATACGCTTGATAGGGCCTCAGATTTTGTATTATGACAGTCTCGTTTCTTGTTCCTCTCCTCTTGCATCCTCTCTTTTTACGGGTCCATTGGTTAAGTTTACGTGCTCAGTCGCGAGGCGTTTATATCCGCAAGGGAGGGATAAACTCAAAAAGATGTTTGTTTGTCTGTTTGTTTTTCAGCTCGGACTCGAGTTTTCTTCTCTGGCACTTCGGGAGAAAATTGTACTAGGGTATAGCTAAAGGGTTCGGAGCAAAGAGCAACACTTGAGATCAAGCTGGCTCAACGGAGTTGGGATGGAGCTGCTGCAGCCGAACAATGCAAATCATTGAACATGGCACAAGCCTGGTTGTTATTGTGGAGATTGATGTTGCAAGCCAAGGTGAATGTGTCGTCACGCGTGGGTGTGTGAGGTTGTGAGGATGCTCCGACCAGTTCAGATGCACGTCACCCCTCTCGTGGCAATGACGTTAGGGCTTGGCGCAGGAGCCAGAAATGCAGGTACGTACCTGTTTGGGTGGGGAGGCCGACGACCTAACCAAACACCAACTGGACATTCACGATTTTTTCCACCCAGCACCCGCTTCACCCAGTCCGATGCCCTCAGAACGGCTGCGCAGCCACAGCCGTCACCGCCCCGCCCTGGATCTGACTTTTCCTGACCACGGTGCCCACGGGTGCGCTATGACACAATGTGAGCAGGCCAGGGCATGTCTCCCGAGTCACAATGGAAAGGGCCGATAGAAGCCAACCACGCAATGGCGCTTATTCCGACAGACACCCGACGTGATTTTCACGTTATCCGGAGCCTTTCTGATGCGCTGCTTGCTCGCACGGCCCTGGGATTTCGTCATTCGCGCGAAGTTTTCCATCATGTCTATCAAAGTGAGTCTGACAAACGCTATGCTGGTGCGAACCTCGGCATCCGAGGCAGGAAAATGTCAACAATTGCCACGTCCCAGCTTACTATTCAGACTCAGCCGGTTGCTAACAAGAGCATCGACATTGCCAAATCTGCGCCGACGTGGTCCTCACCGCTTTCTACCTTATCGATAGCATTCTCAGCATGCCGTCCCCCTTCAAGCACGCATCGGCAAACTACTGCAGCTCCAGATCCTCGGCTATACCACATTGCGTATAGATTACTGAGCCGCCTTTCCTCTGAACGGCAAAGCGGCCTCGGCCAAGACCCTGGTCAACACGGTACTGCCGGAGTTTATTTGCAGTAATCTAGTCGCGGTGTCGATAAGCACAACGTACGACACCTTGATGGTTGGTGGACCTAATAAACAAAATGGCGCGCCCTTCTACATACGCGCCGATTTTTTCGTGTTCCATTTTTTTTCTCGTGTTGATTGTGCGGGTGTCCGGGGTCGATCATCTTGCTCTGCTTGCTTTTGTCTATAAAGCTGCGAAGCATTCGAGCCACGTCATAGTCACAGGAGGCAGCGTACTAATTGATTGACTGGTCGAAGCGCCGGGGAAGCCAGTGACTCTGCTTTTTCCAGACAATTCCATATCACCCAGACGTACACCGACACATTTTGCGGCATCTCACACGCCTCGACCGCGTAAAATTACACCAAACTTTTGGCTTCAGGCAAATCCTCATCATGACTGCAACTTCACTAGTAGATGGGCGTCTTCCAGCATCGTCGCTTCTCCGGTTACCCCTGGAGATTCGCCTGATGATCTACGAATACCTCCTACTACCCTCGAAGACACCCTGCGCTGGACGCGGTACATCGGTTGCGAATCTGATACCCGATTTCCACACGTACTTTTCCGAGGACACCAACAATGACCCGTTCACCCTGAGCGTACGCACAGTCGATCCTTGGCTGGGAGGGCATGGTGCAAGGACATGGAGGAAGAGGAGTACCTATCACGTCAGAACTGGTAAGTCGAACCCTAGCCAGGCAATGGACCCCTACTAACATAGACTGACAAGGACCCTTTCTTACAACAACGGCACCGACGACGTACCGCGTCCTCCTCTCGCCCTATACTGCCCATTTACGCTACACGGTCCCGTCTCTCATGTGCATCAACTCGCAAATCCACGCCGAAGCGAGCAAGATCCTCTACTCGACATATACGTTTAGCTTCCACATGAGCGTCGAGGCCGTGGTGCCTTTTCTTTCTGACCTGACGCCGCGGAGCCGAGCGTCGGTCCGACATCTCAGTCTGACTAAGAAGGCGCTGCCGTACGCAAAAGAATTCGATCGTGCAGAATGGGCAGAAATGTGCGCCTATCTCGCCGCCGCCGCCGCCGCAAACACGTCCATGGAGGAGGGCGCGCCAGCCATGCAGCTTAGCACGCTGCAGCTGCAGACGATTGCGGGCAAGCCAGACGAAGCGTGGGAAGCCATTACGCCCATGACGCCGTCAGACTTTGACACGATGCTTCGCATGAAGAACGAGTGGCTTGGTGGGCGCAGCGACTTTGGCGGTGTGGATCTCGAGTGGGCGGAGCAGGTCATGGCGATCAGGGGCCTGCGGGATATCACTGTCAAGGCGCTGGTGGAGCGGTGTGCGAGGCCTGTCAGTGAGAAACAAGCGTTTTGGGTGGCATTTAGTAAGAGTGTTGCTGAGGGCAAGTTTGGCGAGTGGATGAGAGGCCGTATGCTGCTGCAGTGTTGAGGTTGAATTATGCGAGGATAGAGCTGCTGCTGCTGCGGCGGCGGTAGTGGTGGTGACGGCGTGTTGTAGTAATTCCCTCTACTCTTAGCACTCGTTTTTGTTTTTCACGGGGGCTTTATTTCTAGGTATATTACGACTTGGTATTGTAGACAAACTTGGTTAGATTATTAGACGAGCACAATCAAGGTAATCATCAGCTTCACCACGTTGACACATTGCACGTAGACTTGGAAATGAATAGCAACGCATTCATATTTGTAGGTTTTTTGTTCTTTGTTTCTTTGTTTCTTTGTTTCTTTCTTTCTTTCTTTCTGAATCTAAGTAACACATCACCGCATGCAAACGCCGTAACTACAATTTTTTGTTCCAAAGCCTGCATAACTGTGGGGTTGGGTATCATGTCTTCATGTCTTTTGCAGTTTCTCACCTCTCTCTCTCTCTCACTCACACACACACACACACTCTCTCTCTCTCTCTCTGTGTGTGTGTGTGTGTGTGTGTGTGTATCTGTCTCTCAGTCTTGTAAACATATTTGTGATAGGGGGAAAAAAAAGGAAGAGGAAAATAATGATGAAATAGGATAGAAGAAGGTACAAAAATTAGAAGGAGAAAAAGAAAAAGAGAAGGAAAAAAAGAGAGAAAAGAAGATGTAAAACACGACTTGAGAAAAGTAACGCCCCTCTCTTTCCCATGTCTTGTGTGTGCGTGTGTGTGATTTTTGAAACAGACTTGTGAGGTATGGAGGAAAATGAAAGAAGCAAAAAGGTAACCCCTAGAAAGAAAAAAAATGAAAGACCTTAAACACCATCGCTGTAGTAAAGTCAAAAACAAACCAGAAAACTAGGCTGCAGGAATCCTGGAACGGTCACCACCCTTTGCAATCCACTCTTCCTTGATGATCTTGTCCTGCTCCATGTGCATGAGCTTGTAGGCGGTGCGAATGGTGCCGTCGCTGACCTCGACGGCGAGACCAATCTCCTTGGGCGACTTGGGCTGGCCCATGAGATGTGAAACCAAGTAGAGACAAGCACCGGCAATAGACAAAGGCGATCGTCCCGCGGCGACACCATAGTGGGCGACTTGGTCGGCACACTCTTCGGCCACCATTTGCACCTGCGTGCCCAAAGCCAGCTTGGCACAGGCACGAGGCATGAGGCTGGCGGCGCTTGTAGCCGTGGTGCCACCCTTTTGGTTGAGCAGATTGACCGTGTCGATGACTGCGCCGTTACCAGCAACCGAGGGACCACTGTTCTGTGACTTTTGGATGAAAGCCTCGAGGACCTTGAAGGTGCGCCCAACCTCCTTCTTGGACACGTTTGTCATTTTGAAAATCTCGCGGAAGCTTCGCTGCTGGTCGTGCTTTCGGCAGGCTATGAAGATGCAGCCAGCAATGATGGCGTCCTGGGATTTGCCCTTGAACAGCTTCGCGTCGTCGGTCATCTTGTAGAGCATCTTTGCCGTCTCGGCCGTGGGCCTGCTGATGTTCTGGCTGTCGCAGAGCGCGGTGATCTGGCCGTAGGCGGCTTGCAGCGCCTTGTTGACCTTGTCGTGGTTGCTCTTGTTGTGTGCCCTCGAGAGATCACGCACCCTCATGCCGCCGTCGCCGAAGCCGATTTCCGTTTGCAGCTGCGAGCCGTGCAGAAGAGGATTCGCGGCATCTCCAATACGCGACGGATCATCGTTACCCTGGTCTGCAAAGCAACAATACAAAGTCAGCATGGCGGCCTCACTGGTCAAAGGCAAGGGCGCACTTGCCGTCGTTGGAGAAGGTTCTCCATTCCGAGCGGGTATCGATGATGCGGTCTGCCAGGACGCGACCGCAGGAGCCGCAGATGGTATCGCCGGCACTGAACTCTTCTACGAGATTGGGCGGGTTTTCCTTGCAGTCGGGGCAGATCAAAGCAACATTCAGGTCTTCTTGCCACTCGTCGTCCTTGACCTGCACGGGCGCCGCCTCGTAGACCTCTCCAGGCGACAGCAGGCGACCATCGGGTGCGTAAGACATGTTGTCTTGTTTTCTTTTCTTTCAGCAAGGGCGAGTGGTTCAAGACTTGTATTCTGGATTCTAGCTAGGGCGCTCGCGAGACCGACACTTGAGGGCTGCTTTTGGGCACGGGTTGCAGGGAAACGAGTGTGGTGGTCAGAGACTGGAGAGAGAGGGAACAGCGAGGAAACCTTATGGGTTGCGAAGACAGGCAGCCGACTGCGAGGCTTGGCGCGAAACCCGGGGCTAGGCCGAATGCGGCGGCGGCTCAAGCTGCGGCGGACCACGGTTTTTCCCCATCATCGACATCGACCTTCACCTTGTAGCTCCCATTGCCAGCTCCTCACCCCCGACACCACAACACAATGATTGCGCAATCCATCAGGGCCTCGGTACGCTGCTCTCAATTGCGGAAGCTGGATACGTACTGACCCGCCACAGCGCCAGGCGCTCGTCCGCGTCGCCCGGCAGCAACCTGGGTGCGTTGCTCGCCGCACCTTCATCACCCCCACGGCCGTCCGATCAGGTGATTCATCCCAGCACGCTCGAGATTGCGACAGTACTGACCCAATTGGTGCCGCAGCCGACCTGGTGCAGGACCTGTACCTCCGCGAGCTGAAGAACTACAAGGTGCCGCAAGTCAAGGCCTCGGACGCCGAGGGCCAGGTCAAGAAGTTCTCGATGCCCAAGGCCCCCGCGTCGCCCGAGGAGACGGACATTGCAAGCGAGCTCAAGGCATACGAGACACAGGCTGTTGAGGTGGAGGGCGCAGCGTCCGAGGGCGGCGAGGTGCTGCCGCAGGAGGACTGGTTCGAGGAGGAGGACGAGAGCATCACGACTGCCGGTGCCACGCACTAGAGGCAGACTGCTGGGCTGAAGGGCTACATGTATCAAAATACTAGCGGCAGTGTCAATACTACTGGGCAAAGGCGAAGCCGAGCTATTGGACGCATTGTCTGGGAACCTGCACATCACGTGACGCACCACTTGGGTTGAACATTGTGATAAGCTATGCGGCTTGGCTGTGAGTGACGGGGGCAGCTCTGGGGTAAAGCAGCAGTGTGGCCCTGGCACAGGCATGCCGCACGGCCGAGGTATGAGGATATTGGTTGTACGTGCATCATGGGAGGACCGAGTGTAGGCTAACCTATCAGCCACTTTGTCGCCCCTCTCCCAACGCGCGAGACGGATCTACACTTTGATGATGTAAATATCCCGCGACACATGCACGCGGGCCGGGCTCTACACAGACACAGACGGACAAGCAGATGAGGGTGAGCACAGACTGGGCGGGCCCCCTAAAGTTGTTGAAAGAGAAAAAAGGTACTTTTTGTGCGCACCAGCATGCATGCGAAGGGCTGACACGAGAGAAGCAAGCGTAGTGCATGGTCGGGATACAGCAATCGGGAAGGCTGACGGTATCAGTGTTTCGGGCGAGGCAGAGATTGCTTTTGGGCAGGCCAGACCAGGCGTGATAAGGCGGGCGAGGTGCATGGCAGGCGATGTGCTGGTTGTGCGGAAATGTTGTTCTGATCAACACGCGCGTCCACGACAGCGATACTCGACGACGCTACGGCATGGCCAGGCAGGCGCGGCGACTGACTCGATGCGGCTGTATGGAGCAGCATAGGTGTGCATAGGCGTCCATGGATACATGGTACATGGGGCGAGTGAGGGTGCATGCGACGGCAACAGCGAGCAACAGCCACTCAGATAAGCGTGGTGGGTGAGTGTATGTGCTGGGCGGAGGTGGCTACTCGTGGTCGGAAAGTCGGACGAACAGGCTGAGAGCGTGGGTGCAGGTGTGAGGGTTGAAGCCAATTGCGGCTGGCGTCCGCCGCGTGCACGGCATCCAATGCATATTGCCCGACTAGTGCAATACTGGCGTACCATGGCCATGGCCATCGATGAATTTTTCTGCCATGCAAGGAGGGGTTTAGGAGCCCTGCGCTACCGGCAGCTGTCGCGCAGCAGGCAGAGGGGCGTTTGCGAGCGGCGACGCGGCCGGGGCAACGAGGTGAATTGGCTGAAACGGGGCGAGAGGCGGGCGGGGGCGCGCGCAACGTGTCAGGCCCTTCAGAGATTGCAGTGTTCGCTGTTCACGTCGCGAAAAAACAAGGTGGTTCGGCGGGTCGGCTGCAAGTCAGTAGGGGAGCGTGGAGGGGGGCACACTGACCACGGCCAAGTACTGGTGCAACAGCCGCAGCAGCAGCAGCAGCAGCAGCCGCAGCAGCAGCATGGGCAGCAGCATGAGCAGCATAAGCAGCATGGGGGGCGGGCATATGGTGCGGAGTGGTGTGTGATGTGAGGCGAGGCGGGAAGGGCGTCGTCGATGCAGGCAGTGCGTGCATGGCATGGCAGGGGATGGTGGCGGACACACGATATAACATCACCGCCGCGCCTGTGCTCGCGCTCGTGCTCGTGCTCGCGCTCTGCCCGCAACGCCTGCAGACGAGGCAGCCGGCGCAGTGGCAGCGCAAAGAAACGGCGCATCCGTAGCAGTAGACGACTGGCAGATGACACCAGAAATGCGCCCGTTTTTAATATAGAACCATCGCTCCGACGCGATCTGCCCATGATCCCTGCTAGCCCCCAACCCATCTGCCTGCGCAGCGTCAAAGTAATAGCTCAACCTGCCCCCAGCAGAGCGTGCTGGTGCTTGGACGCTCTCTCAAACCCGAATGCTTGTCTGCCGGTCGCTACTGAACAGCTTTCCTTGGGTATACCAACCGCTCCCCCACAAGACACCGCACCACCGCCCCCGACCCGCCGCCCATAAGCCCACGCCCGCGCCCTCTCTGCCTGCCACCCCCCCGGTATCACAGCCTCCATCTGTGACGTCGCTCCCGCAAGCACCTCGCCCCCATTGACTCCGTCCGCCGCCGCCGCCGCCGCCGCCGCCGACGCCGCCCGTCCCAGTCCGCATCCACCGCCATGAGCCCGTAGGCTGTCGACGAGAACGACTCCGACGCGTGACGACCGCTTCCTCCTCCTCTTCCTCCTCCTCCTCCTCCTCCTCTCCTCCTCTCCTCCTCCGCCTCCCGCCTCCCGCCTCCCTCTCTGCCTCCCTGTCCGCCTCCGCCTACTCCTAACCACGGGCCCGGCCGCCGCTGCTCCGACCCCGGCCACCTCCTCCACCGCCGCCGCCAGCCTCTGCTCCGCCATGCCCATCGCCGTCGCCCCGGCTCCTCGCAGCCACTACTCGCTCACCAATGCCATCCGCGGCAGGCACAAGCCCTCGTCTGACGCGGCCCCCCCGCTCCCCCAGGAGCCAGAACGCGCTCAGCTGCCCAAGGCCGCCTCGTACACATACTTTCCCCAGGTGAAGGATCTCGACAACGCCTCGCCCGTCGCCGAACTCAGAGCTGGCTCCGAGGATGATGCCGACCGCGCCAGGAGCGAGGAGAGAACCTCGGAGAGCCATTCGGGCGGCTCCAGTCCCTCGTCAGAAGAAGCCCCCGAGCTGCCCGGTGTCCAGATGCCCCAGTTACGAGTAGCAATCCCCTCGCGTCGCTCGTCCCGCTTCCTGCCCTTCACCAGGAGCAGAGATCCCTCCGCCGAGCCCAAGCCAGACCGCGGCCGCACCGAGGCCGTCAAGCAGGCAGACTCGCCCTCGAGCTCGCCCGCGCGCTCGCTGACCCTGCGCAGAAAGTCGTGGGTCATTGGCCAGCCCCAGAACCACCGCGAGTCAACGTCGCCCGGAAAGGAGAAGAAGCTCAAGAAGAAGGAGTCGCCGGCCAGGAAGCCCCAGCCCGCCGCCGATGTGCCCAAGCAGAAGACGACCCAGGGCCCGACAAGCATCCCAGAAGAGTCGGAGGCGAGGGACACGGTGCACGAGGAAATCCAGCAGCCGCCATCCCTCAAGAAGAACAAGCGCCGCAGCGGCATCTTCAGCACCTCTGCCAGCACCTCCAACCTGCCCTCGATGCCCAAGTCGTTTTCGACGGAGCAGCTGCCTCATTATCCCCAAAACCAGACGCCAGTGAGCCCAACACACGTGGTTCCTCCGCTGCCACGCAACCCTTCCGCCGAAAAATTAAAAGGCGTCAAGACTGAGCCACGTAAGAAGGACGAACTATGGAATGCATTCAGAAGCCTCGACGCGGACCTGCGAAAGCACGACTCCCCTCTTCCCTCAATGCCACGCTTCCCGGCTAACAGATGACCAGATTCCAATCCAAATCCAGTTCGCTCAAAGCAAATGTTGTCCGCACTTCCCTCCTTCCCTTTCTCCGCCAACATGCCCAGAAACCTCTAGACCAAAAGCTCAGGCCTGAAGACCTCGATCGCCGTGTAAACATACTCAATGGCTGGTGGACCGGTCTCCTGGAGCTCGTTGCAGGACGGAACAATCAATCCATCTCGGGCACCGATCGTCCCGTCATCTTGGAAGGCATCGCGGCCATTATGGAGAGGCCCGAGTGGAGACTGTACCCTTCTCCCTTCTGTGCCCTTGCAGGCCGTGAAGAGATCATGGGTGCATCCATAACTGGCTCTAACGCTTCTACTAATTCTGACTTTCTTGCAGAGTCGGTCCACCATAACGTGCGCAACATTTTCACCCAAAACTTGCAGTCGCAAATGGCTTTTGTTGTGGAAAAGATGTCTTTGCGGAATGCCGCGGCCAGCCTGGTCACCTTCTGTGGAAAGACGTGTGCATATGCTTTCTGCTTTTGTCCTGGGGTGGCTGATGTTCTAGTGCGTCTGTGGAGCCCGTCCCTCGATATGATGAAGCGGGTCATGGAGGAGTCGGGCGTATCGAAGCTGGATCGATTGGACACCATCTCCGATCGAGTCGTGGCTTCTTTCCCGCCCATGCTTCACTCGCTCAAACTGCTTTCTCTCAACAAGCTCATGCGCCAGCTGCACAAGCCCACCCTGCCGCCGCTTGCCATGGCCAATATTGACTGGTATGGAATGTGGACCAAGCGCTGGTCGGGCGCCGAGAGCGACCTTTTCTATGTTTTTGTCAAGCACTTCCACATCCTCATGAGCGACTTTTTGCCTGCAGAGCCCTCTAACGCGGAGCGCATCTGTGTGCCCGGCCTGATCATGGTGCACGCCCAGCTCCTCGTCAATCTGGACGCCACCATCAACAGGAATGCAGTGCTGCAGCAGCTGTCTGAAGAAGCGTCGGCAACGGCGGCGGCACCCATCACCTTTGATGATGTCCTGGAACCAGATGCCTCGGCCTCGAATCTTGCCATTCCACCCGCAAACGCTACCCGCATGATGCAGGAAAACCGAATCATAATGTTAATACGCGACTTTCTCTCTGAGCGCAACGCCCATCTTCAGATTGCCAGGAGTATGTTTGCCGAAAGTTTTGCCCGTCTCTTACAAGCGCAGGCGCGTAAGATTTCCATCTACGACAACAATGCTTGCTACACGCTCTGCGATTTTCTCGAGGAGGCGCTGGTCATCATGGTCCGCTATGAGCAGCATGACAGCAACCACCACACGGTCATGGACTGGACTTTCTGGCTTTCAGTCTTCAAAGCTATGGCGGCCAGTCACAACACTGCTACCGAGATTAAGCTGTACGCTTTCCTCTACAGCAGTTGGGGCACCCTGACCATGGACGAGCAACGGAAACAAGGGCTGTGCCTCGACTTTCTGCTGGACCCCGATTTCTTCGAAAGCCGTTTCAACCACTGGTGCCCCATGGTGCGCTCCTACTTTATGCGGCTGATCTGCTGGCGAGTCGCTCGTTTCGACGGCACCGAAACCGAGACGGAAGTGTGAGTTTAGGCCGTGCTAGATCCCTGTAGATATGCTAATGAGCTTGCAGAGCAATCAAGCGCGCTTTGAGCGACCGTCTCCGGACAATCTGGTCTCACTACCTCTGGCTTCAGGAAGAGGCCGAGCGCAAGCAAACCGTATGGCCGTCGACGCAGGCTTGCAATCCTGCACCAGGCCGCCGCTTCCTCATTATACGTAATGATAATCCCATTGTGGCCAACAGCGGCCCTTTTCTCTCGTTTGACGGCGTGGTCCAAAACCCCCACCAGCGAAAGCCCTCTCTTACAAGTAACCCCATCCCGGAACCTGAACCCCGGCCAGCATCTTCTTTGTCGACCGACTCGAACGATTTCCCGGACGAGGACTCGGGCAAAGGCAGATGGAGCATCTTTCGCAATCTCATTGGAGGAGGCTCCAAGCAGAATGCCAAATCAAAGAGTCCTGGGCCCGCTGCTAAGGACAAGGAAAACGCTGGCAAGACAACGGGCACTAATGGCACTAATGCGTCAACCGAATCATCTTCCAACACTTCGGCTGCCGAAACGCCAGCGCCGGCACCGGCACCAGTCACTCACCGATCGTACCATTTCCGTTTCTCTCTCGAATGGGTCGATAAGCGCTTTGGTACCTACCAGCATATGCGCCTCCAGCCCCCTCGGCTCCCAGCCCCGGCCCAAACCCTCTTGCAGCAAAAGGGCATCAACATCGACCCTGTCCCCAGCGCACAGCCTACGGGCGCTGCTGTGACATCGAGTACGTACGCCGGCCGCGCTCTCGCAGAATGGACCTTTATCAGCCATGAATGCCAGAACTTCTTCGATAGGAGAAAGAATGAAGGCGTGCCATCGAACCGACAAGTGGAGACGCCCACATTAAACGTCGAAGCCTTCAGACGGCCTGGTTAGACGGCACTACAAGGCTCAACAACACACTCGCTTCAGCAAACTCATACATAATTTAACAAGCATGCCGAGGTTCCCCATGGACGTTGTCGGCAGGTTCGATATCCACCAACCCACATTCGCACAACACTGTTACCATATCTTGACGATTGCATATGGACAGCTCGGCACGAGCATCCCCTAGCGGCGTTCTTACAACATTGGACATATTTTTTTTTGTTTAGACATCTGGCATGCATGGCAGCGCGCTTCTCGCATGGCCCCCAAATCATTCTTCTTCTTCTTTTTTCTCTACTTGCTTTTTTCTTTTCTTATGCACCGATTCATCTATCTGTCCGTCTCTCTCTTGGCGTGGGCGCAAAAACAAGTAATGGGAACATATATTTCTTTATTATAACATGTGCTGGGTTGCTATATAGTTCCCTTTTTGTTTTCTTCTCTTCCAAGGGTGGAATTATAGATGTATGAATCTTAGTCCCGTTTTTATTTTTATTTCTCAATCCCCTTTCCCTCCGTTTGATTGTTAATCTCCGCTCCCTGTCCTGGTCACTCCGTGTTTCCCCACTTCTTAGACTTTCTCAACACAAGGGCAAAAGAGGAGGGACAAAGAGAGACAAAAAAAATCTTGGCTACAGTGTGAGATTGGAACGGGGCGTCCTGCCAGCAATAGTTGGGCCCGGCTAATCCTGCTTGGCGGGGCGTTCGGGGCGTTCGCAGCGGGGGCGGAAACGGGGGCTTCTGGTGCGCTCATTTCGGTTAATTCTATATGCACGGCAGGAGGGCTTGCATATTATCTATGGAGTGAATCAGGGTGTGGGAAGCCAGTCAGCAAGCGAGCGAGCGAGCCGGCGGTGGTCGTGGTTCATCCATGCAAGCACGCAACTGCAACTGCGACTGCAACGTGTTAGCGAGGTTGAATGTGGAGGCGAGGACCCCCACTCCAGCGCCCCCCCCCCCTTCTTCTCTTTCTTTCTCCTTTTCCTTATCACGCCCGCTCGCCAACTCGAAGAATTTGGAATACTCGCGTCCGTGGGCGTGGGCGTGGAGTGGGTATTTCTCGGCTACGGGGGATCTTGGCTTTTTCGTTTTTTGTTGTTATTATAATTATTATTATTATCGTACCCTGAGTAGGGTAAGTAGGTGTTTGTAGCCGCGCGCATGTGGGTGGAAAGAAACTTCCCCCCCCTTGTTGATTGAATGGATTTGGAGTCTGGTGGCCCTTTTTTTCGGACTTGGTTCCTTGTCTATCAACCAACCAACCAACCAACCCCCTCTATTGTTCTTTTTTTTTGATATCCGGAGGTGAGAACATAATATAGCAAGGGGGATTATCATCAAACCTAAGTATCTATTGAAATAGTGTTTAATCCCAGATTCTGTTATAATTATACCCTAGCATTCCCGCTATATAACCACTATAGTTATCCATGTGTACTTGGTGTGTATTGTAAAAAAAACAAAAAAAACACGGATAATCGTGACGTCGCCATCTTCATTCCCCCCCCCCCCCCAGGATGAAACAGCGTAATATGATTTCTTAGTCAATCGCGAAAGAGTGATAGTATTACTTCTAATAGAGATTAATAA